AAACATAATATCAAATTATAAAAATAAGCGTTGCAAAATACTCTTTTATGTATTTAAATATGTTAGTTAAAGTGTTATTTACTTTTGTGTTGTCCTTTTATGTATTTAAATTATTGTAGTTATACTGATATTTGCTCTTGTGTAGTTTTTTTTAGTAGAGAAGGAACAATCTCAAGGAAGAATCGGTTAATTATATCTACCGTTCAGTCTCTTGAGTCACGTGTCTCTCTCACTTTGGGATGCTGGCAAAATTAACGTGTATAACGAAACAAGTCTATATTAAAAAAAAAACCTTATTGTTAATAAAAAATGCTTCACAATCCACTTTGTCACTGGCACTCTCAAGTTGGGACTGGAACCTTTCGCAAACTGTACGATTGCTATTTTATTCTTCAGTATATCATTGAGTGCAAAATTTATCAAATATAATAACTCAGTAATTTCTAAAATTCACTATCTTTCGTTTTCTTCTCATAATTATACTCATAACAAAATTAATAAATATAAGGTTCACTTTCTACTTGAAAGCTTTACAGAGAACTTTATATAATCATATTAGTTAGAACAATGCTTTACATATAGAATTTTGCATTTTCGAGTTACTGCTTTTTATATTAAGCGCGTTATTTATATCGACGATTGTAAATCTAATTGACCCAAGCGAACGAAGGCACAGATACACATCAACAATGAATCTGTAAATTTTGCTGACCAATTACCCTTTATATTTTTTTATAGCGATGATATAATAAAGGGGAAATAAAAATATATTGAAAACAAACTATTTAATTACCCAATAAAATCTCACAATTTCACAACACAAACAAATACATTTTAATATAATTATTTTATAGATATGTCGATAGTAGTTAAGTAAGTTGTGCATATTGCAAATGTTCGATGATACGAATTTATTTGATGTAAATCAATTTTTTTTTTGTGTAATATATTATCTGTAGATAATTATGGTGATTGTTTTAACTATTGTAGTGTTTTTGTAACAATAACGACACACTTGCCTATTTGAAATAAGAATAAAACTATATTTTTAGAAGAAACTTGTTTTATTGTCTACATAAGTTTAAAAACTGGGTTTATGTGTAAAAACACGTCTAATCATAATAAAATATCCTAAACCATTATAACGGTTTAAGACTGCGTGCAGATCCAAAAACAAGTAACTTTCAATAAGGAGTATTTAAAAAAAAACGAAAGCACTAAAAAACAACTTCTACTAGATGGCGACTCTATCAAAAGTTGATTTTTCCAGAAAACGAATGGACCAAAGACAGTCATTTCCGTTCCTTTTAACTAACATATTAAAAAACTGAAATTTGAATAGTTCGAAACTTAGATATCAATACAAATACAAAAAAAATGTAAATAGAATATGAGTTGTTTATTGAGTTTTGAAAACTAATTTACTTTTAAACTTGAAAGAAAACCGCAAAGGTTGTCATGGAGAAATCAAGAACGTACCGTAGCGACATCTAGTTTGATTTCGAGAACCAATGTTTTTTTTTAATCAATCATATTTGTCAAGGTGTTGTCACAGTCGAAATATGAATTTCTAAAATTATAATTGAAGAAGGTACCACTGATCACATTTTTTTTTAACTGTCTGAAGTATCCGTCCTTATATAATAAATTAACTCCCACCTAAAACTCCACATCCAAGTTAATCTTTAGGGCGCTTGTGCACTACACTGAATTTTCATGTCCGGCGGTCCGATTTTTTCAGGTCCGATATGTCAGGCCATATGTAGGTAATGCGCGCTTGTGCACTGTCAGGAATTTTACCGTCCGGAATTTTACTTTTCTCTATTCCGGACCGGTTTTTTCAGTTCCGTGATGGCAGCAATGAAAAACGTGTTTACGCTTGTACACTGCTGTGTCCGAGATCCGGAAAATTCATAAGGAATAGGCTTGGGAAAAAATAATCGATTTGAATCGATATTTATTTCGGCAATATAGTTAATTTCCAATAAACTTATAATCGATATTTATTGTTGATTATAAAATGCTATATTTTATATGATGATTCAATATAGTTGGTATATATCACAACTCGGTAAAGTTCTAATTTGATCAGCGTATGGTTCTAGTATCGATACTTAGCTAGATTTTAGAATCGTATTAAAAGTATCGATAGCTTAAGGTAAGATAAATAAGTGTTGTTACGCTTAGATGCCTAAACAACTGAACCCATCTAAATGGAAATTAATATAGTAAATAGACTCTAAGAAAGGACATAGGCTACATTTTATCGCGAAAAATAGGGGATGAAAGTTTGCCTGGAAATCTGTTATTATCAATTTTTTTTTAGACAATTGATAAGTATAGATAAATATTCGACAACAGAAGTAATAATAAAGAATAAACAGAAGATTTACAAAAGTAATTAAGTGACACTCAATGTCTTTTTCGCATTTAATAATATTGTTTGTGTCATTAATAAATTTTAAAAAAGAAGTATTCTAAGGGAAAAATATTTCTGCTCAAAGAAACTACACCACGCGTATAAAAAATTATGCCTATATATAATACAGTCAACTGATCTCCTAAAGTTCATTTAGCATAATAATTCTCCGCTAACACGTCACTAATTTCGATTTGTTTACGAAATGGCGCCACCGATTGGTCTATCTCTGTAATCGCTGAAAGTTGTTTTTACAAAACTTCGAAAAAAAATAGCACGTTTAAAAATTTAAACATCAAGTACTAGACCATTATCAGTAATTTTATTCTAATGTCACAGACATTTTTAGCTATTGTATGAGAATAATGCTGTTCCTAAATAAGTAAGGGTATAAGTTTTTACATCTGATAGTAGTCATCCGATAGCAGTAAAAAAAATGCATTCGTCTTGCCATAATTTATTATGGTTTATGTAAAACGATCAGATCATTATTTAGGTACCTTTCTACGTCTTCGAACGGAATTACCGACGTTCCAAAAATCTCATCGTACCTAGCGTAAGTGACGTGTAGCTTCAAAGAGAGCTGCACTACACTGCGCCGCTCCGATCAGGAAAAAAACGGACAAGTGCACAAGCTACTCATCCTAGTTTTTCATGTCATTCCGGACCGGAAAAAATCGGACCGCCGGCCCTGAAAATTCAGTGTAGTGCACAAGCGCCCTAACTCTCTTCTTACTATTTCTGACAAACCTGGCTTTCTATATCTTTGCAAATTTATTAAAAACATAATATCAAATTATAAAAATAAGCGTTGCAAAATACTCTTTTATGTATTTAAATATGTTAGTTAAAGTGTTATTTACTTTTGTGTTGTCCTTTTATGTATTTAAATTATTGTAGTTATACTGATATTTGCTCTTGTGTAGTTTTTTTTAGTAGAGAAGGAACAATCTCAAGGAAGAATCGGTTAATTATATCTACCGTTCAGTCTCTTGAGTCACGTGTCTCTCTCACTTTGGGATGCTGGCAAAATTAACGTGTATAACGAAACAAGTCTATATTAAAAAAAAAACCTTATTGTTAATAAAAAATGCTTCACAATCCACTTTGTCACTGGCACTCTCAAGTTGGGACTGGAACCTTTCGCAAACTGTACGATTGCTATTTTATTCTTCAGTATATCATTGAGTGCAAAATTTATCAAATATAATAACTCAGTAATTTCTAAAATTCACTATCTTTCGTTTTCTTCTCATAATTATACTCATAACAAAATTAATAAATATAAGGTTCACTTTCTACTTGAAAGCTTTACAGAGAACTTTATATAATCATATTAGTTAGAACAATGCTTTACATATAGAATTTTGCATTTTCGAGTTACTGCTTTTTATATTAAGCGCGTTATTTATATCGACGATTGTAAATCTAATTGACCCAAGCGAACGAAGGCACAGATACACATCAACAATGAATCTGTAAATTTTGCTGACCAATTACCCTTTATATTTTTTTATAGCGATGATATAATAAAGGGGAAATAAAAATATATTGAAAACAAACTATTTAATTACCCAATAAAATCTCACAATTTCACAACACAAACAAATACATTTTGTCATATATTGATACCCTGGTATACATTTAATAGGTTTTTAATATTTATTGTCAACGTATGTATTTGACACTAACACAATTTGAGCACAATGTTTAATTTATATAATCTTAAAAATATTAAACATATTTAGATAAAACAGCTTGAAGAGACTGAAAATCCTACAGATAAGTAATTAAATATCATCATATATTATAGTTATAACCAGTAAGTTTTAAACTGGCTCAACTTAAAACAAACTATTTTAACCAACATAAGCAAAGTTATACCATTTTTTGTCTGTATATTTATTCTAATGTATGTACAACTATAGTTTCATTGATTATATATATTACTTTATCATAAACAAAATAAGGCACTTTTTCTGTAAACTTACATGAGCCAGTTTCACTAAAACAAATTTAATTGTCAAATCAATATGAAGCATTGAATGTGCTACAAATATTTGGAATGGTAGCATTATTATTATAATTACGAGGCAAAGCTTATTTCAACAATGTTTTCACATAAGCTTATTCTTTCGGTTCTAATTTAAGAACCAGTAATTTTAATGGAATATTTTTCCTACCCGAAATAAACTATACTATAAACTATTTGTAAGAAAATTTATAAATTAATTTGTGAAATGAATACGACGTGTATAATGGTCCCTATATATTCTGATTCACATTTTTTTTTTTTTATAAGTTGATAAATAATACACTTATATATGAGTTAAGCAATAAAGGACCTACGGCAGGTTTCCGAATTGAGAAAAGTACAAAATGTTGACTAGTTTTTATCAAAATGCTATAATCTGAACATAAAAAAAAACTAAAATCAGAAACGGAAACCTATTTACGTAAAGTTTAAGTACAGTTTGGGAAGTGCTTAACTTTAAATACTCGATTCAGAAACCGAGTGTTAATATTTGTGATGAATTTAATATCACTCGCATTGTTTAAGACTCAACATTCAAAAAACATTAATCGATTCGTGAATTTACAATTAGATTGGACTAAGAAGAACTGGCACCGAATCCAGCAATGTCTGTTTTATATGAATTGTATTTTTCTCTCCTACTTTATTATTTTATGGCATGTTTATAAATACACAATACCGCCAGTACCATGTTAGTTGGTGGCATTTTCATATAAAGAGATAATTTTAAAAACTACCTCTACACCACTTCTGTAAGTAACATTTTAAATCTTCAACAATCATCCTCTTACCATTATCATACGTATACGCAAAACTATACCTTATTTCAACGTTCCAACAATCTATTTCAAATATAATGTAAACTCACTCTGCTCTCAAAGCAGCTCCTTATAAACAATCACAAGCAATACACGTCACATTAGTTCACTCACACACACTGTCTTGCTCTACAGCTCATCCTTGGCTTCTGGTTCTTCAGCATCTAGGTCTTCCTCTTCTATATCGTCAGCTCCGAAACTGGGCGGAGCACCCATACCTCCCAAACCACCGAACCCATACGGATCAGGACCATGAATCTATAATAAAATAACAATATCGGTGACAATTAGATCGTAGAAAGTATTATCACGTATTATTCGTAGATTGTGCTATGCCCACAGTTCTCAGAAATGATGAGAAATGAAGTACATATTGCAAATTAAATATTTCCACGTAGCCCTAAGTTAGTCATATTATTTAATATTGGATTACATATTTAACTTACTTTAACTCCAACTATTTGCGTAGACACATTAATTAATGAAAAAAAAGTAACAAAACGTACAAAAAGGTCAGACTGAGAACCTTCTTTTTTTTACATCTGTTAAAAAACATACTTTGTGTTAAAGGTCCCGCAGATCACACTAAAAATCGCTGCTATTGACCTAAAGCAGTAATTTTTAGTGATGAGGCAGTGGTGCTATAAATAGATAATACCGAAATCTCGTGAGAAAATTGTGCCGGGACGAGTGAGATGAACAACTATTATTAACACCATTATTTAAATTCAGCTTCCTTATGAAAATCAGCTGAATTTAAATTTATTTCCTTTAGATAAGCAGCTCGACCGCTACTCCCTCGAAATCTAGCCATAGCTATAAAATAGTTTTAATTATATTAATGCAAATTTTTATACATAAATTTTTTATTGCATTCCTGTTGCAATATTGAAATCACTAATTAACGTATTTGCGTTATATGCGTTGTGGTCGTTATACTGTGACACAATGCGATGTGTGCTATTTTTTCGCTCAATGAGTGGTTTGGGTTTTTGAGCGTAACATATATATTAATAAATAAATATAAAACATTATACATACTTAATGTAATCAATAGCTATTTATTGTAAAAACCGTTAAAATATATTATTACCTGTTGTATACCAGTTGTAAATGTATACCTACTTATATCAAATCAAATATAATAAAGTTAAATTACTCTCCAAACCCTTTTCTTCGGGTTTGGAGTAATTTAACTTTTGGTTTTTTGTTATCCTATATTAAACCAAGTTATCAAGCTTAGTCAGCCTTTTATTCATTTGCCTAAGCATCGAACCTGTTACACCACTACTCAATTTTAATACTTGTTATCTAAGATATCTTGTTTAATTTAAGTAAAAAAATACGTAGGTAATATTTCATTAATACGGACTAAATATAATTTCCTTTTTTTACCCAGCCATCATCCCGATTGTCCTGCTTATAGTTATGGTTAGTTGTAGCTAGATACAAAATAGATAGGGTCGATAGACGGTCGGTCTACTGGTCCTGTATTCAGGGCTTTTAATAATAAGAGCTGATATGATACCTTGATATATTCCTGTTCCATCTCGTCGGTCCACGTGGTGTCCTCCTCGTTGGGCAACATCCACTGCTCGCAGTAATTAGTATGGTTGAAACAGATCTGTGGGTGGACAACATAATTTCTTATTTAGAACGGAATAAACTTAAAACTATTATTATTTATGATAATTTTTGCATTCACAATGTATATCTTTGATTTACCTATTAATATTTTTAGAATTGTCATAGAAATTATCATTACCTCCGGCCTATTAATGTACCCACTCTTGGCACTCATGAAGCACCACGCGGATGTGTGGGTGTTAACGACTGCAGACGCAGCCAGGACCAACGGTTTTACGTAACTTCTGATGCACAGAGCAGCTTGAGATAATATTTGCATAACTCCGCATCGCAGACTCCGCAGAATCTTCGTTTGCCCAAAGCAGATCTAACAATGCCGATGGCGACCGAACATACAATTAAAATTTATAGTGTAAAATAACACGCATTTGGTGTCAGTCTCACCCACACTCGTCGTGGGTCGGGTACTACTCGAATCATTCTGATTGGCTGACATTTGCTGTGCTTTTAAATTGAGCCTTCTGGAGTTCTACTTTTGAATCACTCGTTTAAAATCTCCTTGCCGTATACGACGTCAGTCGTATGACGACTTTTTTAGTATTTTTAATCGTTCGTCTATTAGGTAGCCAACATGATTCGAAATATTGAATTTTGTTCTTCGTATCGTATGGAAAATCATTTTTACCATATAAACAAAACAGTTGTGAATGTTAACAAAACAGCCATAAATTCATTTAGTTATTCACTTCAACGTCATATATTCATAACATGATTTGACGTTTTATTCTATCACCAGCATACAGCGTTCGATAAACGACGAATGGTTTATTCCACTCCTTGCAATCGAATGAATTAGAAATGACGAATTTTTATGTCGAACAAAAATCAGTAGGAAACGAGCGCTCGACGCGAGGCGAATGATGCAAAACCAGAGCACCTGCGCAAATATATCAGTGAGCCACATCAGTCGTATCTTACTGTACATCGTCAGTGTAACTTATAATAATGATTCTAGTGCAATGGTTCTTAACCTGTGGTCCGTGCAGCCTTATAAAATTATTGCTATAGAAATATAATAAAGTATATGTAATAATTTTATGCGCATTTTATTTATAAATATATTACGTTCAAAGACCAAAGACTATATAGCGAAATTCGTGTCATGGCTGACATGCTGTATGTGACTGTTTTACTGTGACCACAACGCGTTGTGAGTTTTTCTTTCGCTCAATGAGCGGTTTCGTTCTTCAAGCGTAACAAATATACTCGGTGGAATAGAACGACCGACACTCCCGAGGTTCCTGGAGAGTACTATTTGTCTTTAATATGATGTAAAAAAATTATAAGTCTAGGTCAAATAGTTTCGGAGATATTAAATTACAAAGTTTTTGAAAAAAATTGAGTATTTATAACCCTGAGTCAGCTGTTTTTGGGACGTATTAAGGAAAACTTTTTGATGGGTCATTGACTTCTTTATTTCTAAAAACGAAATAAACTAGTTTGTGATTAATAAGACTGCTTTCATGCAAATTCTACCAGACAATCAATAAACAAGGCAGTCAAAATGCTTAAATCGATTTACAGACTAACAGCCGATTTCTGATTTGAAAAAGTAGAAAATTTCTACTGCTTATTCTCAATAACCTAAGTTTTTTTTAATTTCACAAGTCAAATAGTCCTAGTTTTATCAAATTGCTATCAACTGATCATCAAAAAACTAAAATCGGAAACTAAAACTAATTGATTTTAGTTTGAGACGTTTAACTTTGAATTCTCAATTAAGAAACCGAGTGTAAAGGACATTGCTCAACGTCCATACATTGGTGGCCCCAGAGCCAAAAAATATAGGAAAATACTTATTTTACTGTGTGTCACTAACTAATTCTCATTATGTATTTATTATACCGCGACCGAGTTTTAGAACTTATAATCACGCAAAATATAATTCATTTTGAGGTTATAATTTGTTTGGAAAACTACCAAGTACATGATATGATATTGATGTCTATATTGTCGAAGCAAAAAAACTCAACTTTCAGAATGTCGGTTTTTCGTTGTGATTTGTAAAAGTTTCTATGTCAATCAATAGACAAATAAATCATTCTAATAGTTAAATAATAATAATATTGATAAGCTTAAAATTAAAAAACCTATAGCTTTTTGATGGTTGATATCAAAAGATGGCGCCTTAAACACATAAATGACATGATGTTAATATGTTTACGAAAAATATAAAGGTAATGTAATAGAAACAAAGTAGTTTTTAGGATATGTCGTATGAATGTCAATCTTTCTGAATAAACAAGAGTGAATTATCAACAGTTAATGAATTTAGTTTGTATAATATTCAGTTTTTATGTCCTTATGTTTTAGTTGGAAAATCACCAAGAGATGGCGCTTTTAGTAAATTTAAGTTTATTTTCGGTCAATTTAATTTAATGTTTTGTGTTCGATGATTTTAAGGTTATCTAATAAAAATAAATGATCTTCTTGATCTGACATGTAAATTACATCCATCTGACTCAATAGAATTTTTTGTCGATTTTTGTTTTGTTCTACTGCATTTTTAATTGAATTTTTGTTAATAAGATACGAGAGTGTTCGTCTTGAGTGTTAAGTTTAATTTAGTGACGATTGTATTTAGTTTTGTGTGAAATGTGATGTGTTTTGCGCGTGCATGCACCGGCATGCAAAAGAGCGTGCTTAGCTCAGTCTTCAGAGAGGAAGTGGACATTTTTAGCATTGACTATCATTAAGATATCGGTAAATAATTAAATAAAATTAATGTATTTCGCAGTTCGTTGTAATCTGCACACAATCGATATTGCGCATGCGCGTTATAGGGCTGTCAACACTTAGAAATTTAAAATTTTTACACCTCTATTTTTAAATATTTGTCAAATAAAATGAACGTTTGCATGTAACCAACTTGAAACTTTCGGCTGTATCGGTCATTTTATTGCTCCCAGTATAAAATATATAATAATACTTTATTTATCTAGCTTAGGTTCAGCATATTAAACGGAGTGGTTTCTCTTAAACCTGAGAATAAAAATAGAAAATGGTCCCTAACGACGAAACCACTGTTCTAGTGTCATCATATTCTCACCGCTTTCTCAGCATCAGGCATCACGTCGTCCTCCGGTCTGTTCTTGTACAGATCAGTTATTTCGTCTTCGTTCTCCTCGAACATGCGCTCACACTGAAATTGTTAATGTTTAAATTGTAATTATTTCTTTCATTAAATATATTCTAGGATAAACCTCAATACGAAATGGTGGGTAAAACTAGTGTTTATTTTCATTAAACATACTTTTTTTTTTCTTTTAATTGGTTTTATGAGTAATAAATAGTAATTAATCAAAATGTGTTCTGATTGTGTTGTGCTTAAAACTCCAGACATAAGCTTTTATACAAATTGTTTGCGTTTATGGCGGAAGGAGACTTAAAAATTGAGAGCAACTCACAAATGAAATAACACTAACAGAAGGTGAGTATAATGAAAAGAAAGAAGCAAAAAGGTCAAAAGGTTAGATAAGAAAAGGGCACTTGATACTTAAAGTGTCCGATGAATCTAATGCACTTTTATCTATGTTATGATTAATGATATTTGGTTATTTTGAATATTGCACAACGTAGCTATGTGAATGTAGATACGTATTGAGAATTTCACGCACTCGTCTCGCAAGTAATAAAATATATACTATATTATTAAGTCAAATAAATTATATACTATGTATATTATCCCTACAATACCACTAAAAGTGTTATTGTTAAAATTATACACTTTTAAAGAGCAATTTACTATCTTTATTTAAATGTATAGCAGACAACATCACATACATGTTCAGACTTAAACTTAAGTAGCTTTAAGCACTTGTATTTTTAAATCTGAAACAATGAAGATATCACAACAACCAGACACGAGAGAGTGCAGAAAAATTAATTTCCTTTATTGACCCGCCCGAGAATCGAACTTCGGACCTTTAAAGATGTCAACACCTTAATAGTCACTCAACCACGAAGGCTTCATTGTATATGTTACATTTGCGCTCTTCCACTTTGTATTTGCATGAACATGTCTCTTGCAGCGTTTACTACGCCCCGCCCACTATATATATATATATAACCAATAAATAACAATCAACTGTCCGGGAGTGCTGTGTACAAGGAAGCACAACTTCAATAAACACATTGCTTGTTTTTAGTTGCAATCTGCAATTAGACCATTGTAAACGCCCCTAATTGTGATATTTGTTAATCTTTCTAATGTTTATGCTAAACTCTGATTCCTGCTTCCAAGAAACTCTGCTTTTTAAACTGGACTGCTATTAGTGTGTTGTGTTAATGTATTGCTATATAAATCAAAAATTATGAAGAGAAATTTAACAAGAGAAGAAAGAAATCTAATATTAGTTTTAAGTGGACAATCAAGAAATATATCGCAGATTTCAACTACATGTTTCGGTAAGTCATTAAATATTAAATTTTATATATATTTATATTATTGAAATTATGTAAATAGAAAAGCATTCGCTTTTTTGGGTCTTAGACTTAAGTCAAAACGTTTACAATTATAGATAGATTAATCTTACAATAAAAACGAAAAAGTTATATATAATGTCGCCAAATTTATTATAACGCATTATTTTGAAATAAGTTATACAGTTTTATTTTTATGCAGTTAGTTCAATATGTAACTACATTAATTTCCAATTGTGTCGTAAATAATAGGTGTGCTGTGTCTTCAACTTAAATAAATGTTGTCTTTATAGGAACAATTCTTAGCATATGTTAAAAGAGTTTATTTTGTCACATTTAATTAAAATGATACAATTATATTTCAATTTCGCAGAGAGAGGCAGTTCGTCGATGGATACGAGATGCTGCAGAGGGGTCATTAAAAAGCGTCCCCGAACACATCCACCGATATATTAGGTAGTATAATAATTAGTATACGAAACTATATTCATTTAAATTATATTTTTATTAATTTTACATTTGATGTAAATTGCAATGGTATTTGACTATGTGATATTTGTGTTTTGTATATATATTGTTTATTTGTAATACACATAATTTTATTCAACGTCAGTTGTGTCGCTAGGGTAATCGTATTGTTAAATTGTTATCATATTTGATTATTTTCTGTGATACAAATTTATTATTTATTTTTTCATCTTTCACTTTATAATTTTGCAATAAAGATTTTTTATTGTTGTAGACTGTAACAATACTTCTAATACTCAATATTGATTATAATATTTGTTTTACTATTATGTAGAGGGCCGATTAAATAATTTTATCAAAAGTAATGTTATTATTTTCTTTTATATGTAAACTTTAGAATACGGATTAATCGGATAAATTATAAACATAATTTTTATTTTTAAAACTAAAGCATATAAATAAATTTTTAACACAATATTTATTTATTTAATTGTTTGAAGACTAACAGATAAACAATGAAAAAATAATAAACATAATAACAATAAAAAGCTAATTATAAGGTACAATTGGCAAGTTAGTAGAATTATACTAAACACAAATAAAATAAAATAAATAGAATAACATTCTTATTTTATAACGTTTTTAATTGTAAAATTGTACCCCTATTATTGAGATAAGAAACTGCTGTAGATATTGATTTGAATTTAATAAATAAATATTTAAATATTTATTTACACAAAACTATTCAAAAAATAATTCAAAAAGTATTTTGAAATTGTATGAATGGGTTAGTCAAAACAATTTTTTATTATTGAAAATTCACACTTAATTTTTAACACCATTGATTCTCTTTGTAATAAAACCACCATTTACTCAATAATTATATTAACCTCGAGAATTATTCATTGTTTAACAATACACGAAAAATCGTTATATAACAGATACCAAAAATGTAAAGTGTGTAAACGAGACAGACAATCTCTCAATAAAACGGTTGAGATTTTTACGCTAGCCTAAATTCAAGCGATACTAGCCTTATGGGTGGCAGAGCGGCAATGTCCGTGATTGTACATAAAAAATTTCAATGATAAATAAATAGTTCTAACTTTTTATTTATTTCAAATGACTAGACATATTAGATGCATACTCAATTACTTATGTCAAAGATGGATTTTGATCAAGATCCAAAGTATGCTAACTAATTACAACTTCCTTTTATCATAATTCTGAACAAATTGAGTATTTTGATCAAAAACCTAAACTTGTTTAGATTGTTTATAAAACTAATGTAAAAACCAAGACCCAATTAGTTTTATTGTGAATTGAATATGGACTTAATTTTTAAGAATGGAAATAAAAGTTGTTTCCTATACTTACATAGTACTCCAAACTCTTGTTGAGATCATCATCCGTTACAAACTTGGTCTTTGAGAACTCTGGGTTCATACCACCTTCCGGAGTCATCAATTGCATTATAGCTAGCTTCCCTGTTGATTTGTAGTAAACGCGAACATAGTCATCCATCTTCTTACCTAATTGACAAAATACACAATTTTGACATCATTATTATTATACTTATTAAACCAACTTTCAAATGGTTACTATAATATCTAGGATAACTTTGAAACAATACATAATGGTGAAAATTTTATTGTACAAACTAGACTAAAAGGTTAAGATACATTCTGAAAGGATTCTAAGGATATTACATTTAACCTTACACACTCAATTGATAATCTGTTATTTACTAACATATACTTCCGTGAGAAACTCAACAAATCTTCAGTCACATTTTCACTGACCCTAAGCCAAAAAAATTTAATGTAAGGTAGTCAACAGCACATCAAGTCATACAAAACTTGAGAATGCCAATTTTCCTCTGTTGATTTTAAAGCTTTATGTTGGAGGTAAAGGTCAAAATCAATTGTGGAAATTCAACATATTATGATTACCTGCAGCTGTGCAAAGCTTTCAAAGATTTCATTTCTTCCTAGCTGCTATGATTATGTGGATCAATAGTAAAGATCTGATGGAAAGTCTTAAATTATATTTTCTGTACATTTTATTGCTACTTAAATTAAGGTGGTCTCTGACTATTGACCATCTATAAAATATTTCTATTAATATCTATTAAATAGTTTTTTTTTCTAGATTTCCAGGAACACATCTTCAGTAAAATTCCTGCTAAGTATAGTCAACTATAAAAATTTATATGTGAGTAATTAAAAGTATGAAATACAGGAAACATTTAGACACTACTCACTGTGTAAGACAATGAGGATCATAAAGATAAGATTATGATTAGAATAACAAGTTTGTAATCTAGTTCTTGATAATATAATTAATTCCTTCATCATTAAACCGGGGCATTCCAGCCACTAGGACCAGCATCAAAGGATAAGGTCTAGGGGTGACTGTCGTAAGACTTATATCAGAGGCCATAAAAACTAGTTAACATACATAGAAGAGTTGTGAATGTTTAAGAAACGAAACTCAGTTCTCTGCCTACCCTGCAAGTGAACTGGGGAGTAATATGTAACAGAAATAGACATTATAAAAATATTTAAGCACTCACAGATTTCATCTATGACTTCAGAAATGTATACAGCAGAGCGATGTGCAGGCACCTTATCTTGCATTGTATTACCGCTAGCATCCATTCTGAAATTACCCACCTGTGGGCATAGCATAGCATATATTCATAGCTTAATTCTTGCTAATCAATGGTATATTAAGTATTAAGTAAAATCAATTCAAATATATTACTTTTTCTTCTTTAATTTTTAGATAACTAATTTAAAGTCCCCCAAAGACTTATTTCAGGAACAATTGTTGCAAATTTTTTAAGGTAATAATCTTTAAATGTTATAAACTTCCAGTATGTAACTTAATGATATATTTGAAAACCTTTTAAATGACATAGTATCAAATACAATAGCTGTATAAAAAAATGGTTGAAATTAGATCATTTACTGGTAAATAATAATAAGTACTTACATCAACTTTTTTCCATTTATCGGTGCTCTTGATAACTACATTAAGCTCTTCGAAAATTTGACGACACACTGAAATATTAAATAACACAATAATAGCTATTCAGTTATTAAATTAACAAAGTTAATATAAAGCAAATAAAACAGTAAATACACACCTAAACATTTCAAATTTTTTGGATCAATCCTCGCTGAAACTACAGAAAACGACACTACAATTGCAATGTAATAGAAAGCGCACTTCATTTTTCATAGAATTTAAGTTGTTCGTTACAGAATTATGTGCGTTTTCCAAAGAAAATTCAGTAAATGAGGAAAATTCTTTCGACGTGTAAAAAGAAGTTTATCTTTCTGTCAAAATACACGAACTCTTTTTTGATTGGCTATCTGAAATAAAATTTTTAAATCCATGGCAAAGGAACATTACAACTGCATATTAAGAAATGGTTTTGAAAATATGTGTTTATAATATCTATATTTTTAAGTGTGTAGTATTTGTTAAAGTAAACTAAAGAAAAGAGTAACGCAATGTCAAAAAATAGCGACAGTTTGTTAACGACAGAAAAATTAAGTTTGGTCCGTTTGGTCACGTCATTGCGTCATTGTGACATTCTACAGGAAGATAAAACGCATCAAATGAATAACTTAAAATATCAACTTCCTATAAAAAATAAATATATTCGAATAAAGTGAACAAATTATGTAATAAAATATTTCAAAGTAAGCATTTTATTGCTATTTTTAGAAAATGGGTTGTTGGTAAGAAAACATTTTAACCTCTTCGGCTCCCTCGCTTACCCGTTCTCCGGTTTTCCGCCCGCCCGTCTCCCACCCATCAAGCGACCCAAACTAAACCAACAGTTCGCATTCGGTCTAACTGAGCGTCGGACGTTTGCTTCGCGTAATGTATAATTATTTTGTGCATATCAAATCATTTAAGATTCTCAAAATACCTTAATATTCTCGTTTCTAACGTCCTATAGTGACGTTCTAGTGAAAATAGTGAAGAAAGAGGCAAATTTCAAGTAAAAATACAGGTGAGTGAACGGTTGACGGACTGCGTCTTTACATATTCAATACTATTTGTCTTCATTTATTGTTGATTCTAATCGCTTTTTATGTATATAAATACAGCTTCCAATTAGTAGAAAACATATTTAGTTCTGGCATATTGTGTGTGACATTATTCCATACGGATTCTTATCAAACCTTATTACCTCAGTTATTGCATAAACTGTTCAATTATTCACTTAAATGTTATCACAACAGCTATAGTCATGTAATGTTGCAATAAAACCTAAATCTCATAAATTGTAGACCGCGCGCTCTTTACGGAGCTAAGCAGACGACTTGGCAACGCAGTGCCCGGTTAATTGCTTGTTGGATTTAAACTAAGATTCGCCCAATAAGATAAAAAGATGTTATTATCCTATGACCGGCGTTTCCCTTTGTTTTCCGTGTGAAATGGACCCTTTGTCCTTCGGCAGGGAGCGCTGGGTGCGCCGAGGCGCAGGAATTTCGACTCTAGAAAAGTGCCATAATATATGATGATAGGTGCTGTACATATACATGTATATTTCGAGTTGAGCGTCGTTTTCATAGCATGTAGTTGTGCGTATCTACGTGGAGGACGTCATTGTGGTCGTGTGGTAGTTTGTTTATAGTGACGGCCAATGGAAAACGAGCCGTAATCGTATGATTGTATAGAGCATATTATGTTATATGGGTCGGCGTCCTCGTCGCTGTTTTCTATCGATCTCCGTGGTGGCCAATGGCATCTGCTGCTCGGGCTTGCGCGGCTGCGCCCTCCCGCGCCCCGCGGTGAAAGCCGGGAGTCCCACACTACGGCTAACTAGCTACACATTATCTATATGCCTATCTTATCATAATAGAAAAAGTATGAACACAAATGTGCCATCTTCTTTCGAAGCCTTCTAGATGATATTTTCGTTTTTCAATAAGAAATATTTAGGTTCGCAGTGACTCGATAGAATGAAATCATGATTAGTGGAGAGCGCTGTTTGTCGACCTCCGCTGCGGAGGGCGGGGGGAATAGCACCAGAAATAGCCGTGGATTGAAGTCATGCAACGTGGCAACGTCGCGCGCTCGTCCGTGCTCAGTGTCGGTTCAAAATGGCGTCTGTGCGTGATCGATACTGTGCTATTTGCGTTAAAAATGACCGATTTTGTGATGTATCTGGTGGTGGGTCGGCCGGAGAGTTGTCCTGGGAGTACGAGGCATACGCCTCGCACCCGGCCTTTGCTACCGACCCGCTCAATGTACGTATCAAAACCATATTGCGCCGACACCTACATAGGTATTGAGTAGCTATGGATATGCCATGAATAGATAGTTTACACTTGCTATCTCGATGATCTAGACATCTCATTCCTATATTCATATCGTTACCATTAAACAAAATACTTTAGATTTACCTTTTTCGTATAGGTATATGGAAGTTGAACATAGGATGTAAGTAATTTTCTTTCAGATTACGTAATCATATCGAATATATGTTATGATGAGTTTTAGGTACATAATTAATTATCATCGCCTTTGTTATTACTAGAATAAGAAATAAAATTCAAGATCTAAATATAAGAACTCGTTCTCTGCATGTCATCATCATCCACGAGTTGCACCTGATAAACGAAAACAAAATGGCTGACAATTTGTTAAATTACGACGCAGTAGCGCGGTGTGAATGTTGGCAACGTCGCGTTCACTTGTAATAATTGTAAGCAGTCACTTCGATAAGAAGTTTCAAGGCTAAAGTCAGTCTCTTTTAACAATGGATAAATTTAAAGCGCGATAAATGTATTTAAATATTCGATCGAATTAGGCACGTGCTATAATTAAACTTTAATAAATAATAGTTTTGCTTGCAGTAACTCGCACATAAACTTTTATTGATACTATACTTTAGTTAGATCCTTGTCTATATACATGTACGCAACACACGCGCGCGCACACACACACACATACTAAACTGACGAATGTTCCAACGCTCTTCATTATTCGGACATGACATGCTTTAGGTAGGATAAACTTGGATACACAAGACTTACGTCATTCCTGCTCAGGCAGTTGTAAACAATATACTCTGAAATGATCATGTGTGTGAATTGTTGTTTTTTTTTAATATCTGCATTTGAATTTTTAATAAGAGATCGTAATCATATAAATAATAAGGGGAGAAAGCTTAAAGCCAATTTTTATAATATGATTACACACTGCCTATACATGCCGTCTATAATAGATGGAGCTAGTTTACTGAATTCGCTATACGACATTCAAACGTAAAACTGCCTTTTGATTCTGTATCTTTGTTATTGTACAAACTGCTATCATTAGTGTGCTAATTTATATATTATGTGTAAATCAGCTGATAAGCGGGTTCCAACGTGATAAACAATGGTTTTTGTTTGTTTATAATCATTGTTTACCTATTGAATTGTATCTTAATATTTAAGGCATGTGTTCAAACGCTAATTCTCTTATAATTACACGGTTAGGTACCTATATCTTTATAGTTTGTTCTTTTAGAACGCCGAAATAGCTAAATAGATTTTTAATTTAATTTGATACACTTTATTCACAATAGGTACAGTATAGCTTAGTCAAATAACTATAATAAATATAGGTAGTTAATGCTATATTTGCTAAAAACTTTAGCAAGTATAGCATGGGCACTATTTAACTTCCATTATTCTTCTTTGATGGAAAGACTTAAGTTATATGTGGATGGAATCAATATAATATAATCAATTATAGTTTTTCATCTAGTGTGATGTTAAACTTGAACGAAAATGCTTACTTAGTCTCATAAAGAATCCTAGGGCGTCGAAAAGAATTAATAACACTGTATCATGTCATGACTTAAATAGAAAAATTATGATTTTTCCTCCTCGAATCGTTCCTTACAATGCTGAAGATTATGATTTCTCATGACAATTCTCTCATTGATGTTTCACCGTCTCTTTGTCATAGACCGTGTAGTCGCGAAATACTAATTCGAGCTGTGGGGCGTTCGAAATCTAGCGTATTATACATCGAATTTTTTGGCCATCTTCCCTGCATCTTATCGGTACTAGTCCTTATATATGGAGAAACCCTTAGGTAGGCAAAGTCTTATCTTTATTTTAAGTAGACTAAGCATAGTTAAGTTGTTGCATAGAAGAAATCATCGATCGTTTCAAAATAATACATACTATCTTATTGGGATATAAAATATTTTATTTCAATTATTGTAAAATCTTCAAATTATCGAGGTAGTTTTTTCTTATTTTGTGCTTGTTGCCTTCGTCGTTTGATTTGACTAGCCTTGGTTATCCCCTTCGAGCTTTTTTAGACCCTACTTCATAAAACGGCATATTTTATTTTCGTAACTAATTGACTAACTATTCAAATTAGTCAAAATATAGTATTAGCATTCTTCGTATAAATTGAATATTCATTATTATTGCACCCAATTGCTTGCAAAAGATTACTGCATAGCAATAAGGCTTTTGATGTACTGTAATTTCTTAATTCTATATAATCTTAGATTTTTTTGTCAGTCTATCACGCGCCCGCCGCTCAGCAGCTAGTCGCTACTGCTGATAGATATCCTCCACGCAAATCAGTATGATTATTAAGTCGATATCTCGATTCAACTGTAAGCAATGCCACGGGATTGGTTTTCATAATGAAATCGAAATCTTTCATAACTTTAATGACCATGACCATAGTCGTATTAAATCATGGAACGAAACTTCATAATTTGAATCATTTGGATTTTGAATTGCTAGTTATCTATTTATTTTGTCATCCCTAAAACAATCCTAATCTGCAACCAAATTTTAAGTAACTATCTCGCCTCGACAAATTACATAAATTTTAACACATTTTCACGGGTAAAAAAAAAATACAAACAAACGTGCGGTAAGTCGGTGATCGTGAGAATACTGCACTTATTTTACTTTTTTAAAGCCCGATTTCTCAACTAAAAACCAACTAGAATAAGTTTGTTTCAATTACAGCCTACTGTAAACTTTTTTTTACTAGCTTTCAAAACCAGTCTTATATTTTGTCTTATGGAGCAAGGTCTTACTTCAGAGAATCGGATGTTACATTTAATTTCAAATTATATATCATGTTATTTATATTCATGCACATATACAGTATTTATTGTACGTTTGCTGAAAATTTGAAAATTAGTTTATGCAAGGTTTTTTTTATATTGCCATGAGCTCACATACGATAAAACGCGTTTCGGTTTACTTAATATAATTATTATATATTTTCACTATCGTAATGTAGCAGAAGTTGAGTAATTATTAAATTAGTGTGTAGTTTAGAAACTTCATGAAGCTTTTTAATTACCTATTGCTTTATTCTTTTTATTTTCAGTCGCAAATTTTAGAACTTTTAGGGAGCTGAGAGATGTTAACTTCATCCAATCTATGCTAATAAATCATATTCTATTGTTTACTTATTATGCACCTTGGTTTAGTAGCAGCATTTAATAAGACTTACTTATATTTTTGTTTGAAGGATATCTGTCTACTATAGTTATTCTTCATATCTATTTAGCAAAGTAAGGAACTTTGCCCTACAAGTGAATTATTCTGAAACGTTATAGGTCATAATCTGTACAATGATCCCCTCCTTAAATTATCTTCATTCATTTTTGCAGTAGCAAGTTTCAGGCGAGTTATAGCCAAGGTAACCAGTCGCTATATTTTATTTCCTCATTACATAACGTGTAATACAGGGTTTATGGTAAATTAACAATTTACATTGCACACAGCCCTTGTCGACCATTAAAATTCTGTTAGCGCTACATAGCATGAGGTCTGCTCACTATAACATTATATTGAAATTCTGATACCCACGCTGCGTCTTGGCCATCACATATTTTAGTTTTATAACGTTTACTAGGAAGTCGATTTTTGGCGGGAAATGGACACAAATGCCCGGTTGCGCTTTCAGTCGCAACTGTTGTATAATTTTAGAGAAAGGAGATTTGTTTTGGTCCACCTCCTCCGTAGAGGTTCGTGGCATTTCATATCGCGGCACGTCCGTTTCGCTCGCTATTATTTCGTTTGCGACGTTGCCGTTCCTCGGGCAGGGTTTTGAGCTCGATCGTCCGCCGCAGGGTCGGGTGGTTAAAATCGGAGGCGATGAACAGTCAGTCGGCCGCGCAACTCGGTGCGCGACGTTCGTACACGGAGGGCACCGCGCGCGTCCCCTGTTCTAGACTTCATTCTTATCGTTAGTGCAAGCGAGACAAACTTCACTAGAAAGAGCGAGAAGTGCGTGAAAGAGACTGCGCTATGGCAGTGTCGCAACCTCGCCCACCTGACCGTGTTGACGCCGCGCTCGAAAAAGTTGCGCCGCTGCGCTATTTGAAGGCGCACGAATGTGCTCGCATGGAGCGTATAGTGACGCGTTTGTATCAAAATCTTTTGAATTACAACAGTTTATTTGGCCAAAAGAGACAATTAAATAACATCAAAGAAAAGGAAGTTTTGCCGCAATCAATTCAACGGTATGTAATTTTTTTTATCGTTTTACTCTGGTGCAACACATCTCAGTTCTAAAGTAATTAGATAAGACAAAACTTGCATCTTCGAGTTATATATAATGGGTCATTTTTTGACTTCCTAATAACTTTGTATTACATTGATTCGCGTTTATCATGCGATGTAATTGTTGGTATTTAGTCGCCATTTTCTACGTCGGTGACGAATACCGTCGCGCTGACTGCCGTCCTCGTTTCCGCCGACCCATTGTAAACCGGACTTTACCGCTGTATTCCGAAAGATGAATATCCATCACGAATCTTGCCCTTTCTTCAAAAGATCCGCTCGTTATGATTCACAGTGCAAATAATAATAACATTTCGTTGACTGTATATTATTACAGTGGTTAATTCAAAAATGTAAATTTCGGAACGCGTCCACAAAAAAGGCGGGATAAGTGAAATGACATGATTGAGGGAAATGCTGTCATCGTGGCTGTCAAACGTCCTTTTTTTTGTCAATTTGTTCGTTGCCAAGTGGCAGAGATGAAAGTTTCACGAAACGCATTTTGCGCCGCCCGCCCGTTCGATCTAGTTGTACTAGGCGTGCTGTTATCGATTTGTGTACGTTTTCCGCTATAAATAAGTGCGAGTTTGTGTCATCACATCGCGCCCGCCAAGGGACCGGTTTCTGAAAGAAACCTGTACACGGTTGCCGAGTTTAAATTCCAAATTGAACGTGAGTGGCTTTCAATACGTGAGTATAACCAGTCGATGCAATATATGTAACATATATTCTAAATAGCAGGTTTTACAATAATGTAGGTTATATTTAATTGACATCTATGCTTTTAGATTGTATCCGTTTGGTAGATCTGCATTGATTGATTATAAAAACCGACGCCTTCGTTTTGTGATGACGTCATAGGTATCCATTTTGACCCGGGCTGTCTTCAGGCTATAGTGGATAATGTCGTATACCCATGGACATCGAAATTTCCATTTCATGGTTATTTTGTACCTATACAGAGTAATGAAACGTAAACGCTTGCGTCTGCATTGGTGTTACATAACATTTTTAACCGGAAAACTCTTTGTTAAGAATATGCATAATTGGCCATTTCATATTATGTAAAAACTTTCTTGTCAATTATACTTTACTCATGGGTTCTTTTGAGGTTCTTTCTTCACAATCTTCCTAACTAAATAATTCTGATATTGTTTCATTGCAAAGTTGTTATATTTCTTTTAATCATGTATATTTTCCAGTTAAGTATATGTTTAGGAGCTTAAAAATGGAAATTCATACTTAACATAGAATATTTATTTGTCGTATTTTAATTGAAGACTCGTTAAAATTGCAGGACAACAAACAAACATATTTGAAACTGTCAATACCGAATTGTTAATTGTATTATATAGATCAATAATAAAGTATGTATTAAAATTTTCTTTTTTATTATATAGGAATAAAACCTTTATTAAAACAAGATCCAATATGATGTAAAAAATTAACAATACTTTTGTAAGCATTCTCCTTTTACTTTTTACTTCAAGTTAGTCACATTTCAAAACTGTTTGAAGCTATCATAATGATTATGGGGCATTAAAAATATTGTCATAGGTATTATATTTCATGTTTATTGTGATTTTTAAATGAAATTAAATTAAAATATCTTTATTCAAGTAAGCTAGTTACAAGCACTTTTGAATTGTCCAAAAAATTTTTTTTGCTCCTGCCACTTGTTCAGGACATCTTTTAGCTGACAAGAAGAACAAGGGAAATAAACTTACCTGTTCTTTATCATAAATAATGACATTTACAAAATCAAACAAGAGCCATTTTATTTCTGTTAATTAAAGGATGTGCTATTTTTATGGATTACAACAGGAATTCCCAAATTATTTTGTACAAGAACCCTCATTTCCAAAATAAATGAACCTAAGATCCAAATAGCTATGTTTTACTGTAACAATACCATCTCAGTTTTAAAATTGCAATGATGATAAACATTTTTAAAAGTATTATGAAAATTACCCTAATGTAATTTGGGCCTTACAATTACAGTTTGCTATACTACCTTAAGGTCATTCGGACCCTACTATGATGGTTTGCGTTTTGTTTCATCTACTATAAAAAATATTCTTTTGTCTTGTGGTTAAAATGTGCACAATAGCAATTATATTTCAATATATTTACAAGTCAATTATAAAAACCAATGCATTCATTTTTAAAACAGCTTCACAATTATCTCTTGTTTTGACACAGTTGTCAAAACAATGAGGTTATATCATATCAGCATATAACCTCAAAACATTATTAACAAATTATTAATCTTCCTGGCCTCCAGATGAAAAGATGCTTATTTATTATTCTAATTTAAGCAAAAATTAATTTAAATTAGCAATTATGCTAGGTAGATAGACCTTCACAAAAAACATGTCACAACCAATGAATAGTAAGTGGGCAGGATTGTTTGTGGTAATTGATAGAACTTGACATTAAGACTTTGTTAACCTGGTAATTATACAATTACCAGGTTGACAATGCCAAAGTCAAAGTTTTAACTCTGATAAAAATAAAGGCTGGTGGTTTTGTTTTATTTAAACACCTCTGTGCGACATAAGAGAAATAATTAAATTGCCTTGAACCACAAAGCTAAACCCAATACACCCATAAACTGAGAAATTATCTTAAAATGCAAATTGTCATTTTTGATGGCAACATATAAAAAAAATATTTTCATTGCCATGAATTTAGGTCTATTTTTCAATAAATTTTCTATGATATTGTTTATTATAAATAATGTGCTGTCACTGTTTTGATAAAAAATAAAGGGTAAACTGTGAAATCATAGCCTTGGCATACATGTCCCACAGTTTGTTTGATGTTAAAAGAAGTGCCCATTACATCCTTTAGTTAAAGAAAACAGTCTTTGTCTGCTATTAACATACCTATGTATATATTAAAAAACTTAACATCTGTGTGAAACAAATATACCATTATTGTCTAGTTATCTCATTCTTTATTTAAAACTACATATTTAAGTTTTGTGAGATTTGATTATCTATCTTGTTGAAAGTGTTAAAATGTAGTATTTGGCCTCATGTAGTCTCATTTGTTTCCTATGACTATATGAGCATTATTAAAATTATTTTTAAAACCTCTGAAACTACTGCACCAATTTTAAAAATTCCATCTTACTGAAATCTACATTATATGTAGGTGACATAGGCTAAACTTTACATGAGAGAAATCTCTAGAAAACAGCTAGTCAAACATGTTGAGGGTTCCAATTTTAGTCAGCACCTATATTGTTAGCTTTCCTCATTTCATCAAATATAAGTTTTAAATTACCTGATCAGCTACTGATTTCTATGATTTTTATATTTAGATATATCATTGGGTACACCTTTTAGGGTAACAAAAAATTATTTACTGACTAATCATATACTGTATTAACTGCATCATCCCACTTATATTTTATATAATACCATAAAAAGAGAAATTTGAAATCTCTTATGCATCTTCAATAAAATCTGGATGCTCAAGGATATGATCAATATGTGAAATGGATTTTTTAAAGTGTTTATAAGCTCAGAAGTGCAATATTCGCACAGTGAATATTTCAAACACAGAATTTAAATTCCCGAGCTTCCCTTAGCCATTTTCGCTAATATAAAATATAACTTGCTATCTGAAGCTTTTTATTATGTTGAGTACACGCCTGCAAGGTAATTTTAGCGTTGATCCCCCTCAATCCCGTGGCTTTCCTCTGTAGGTCTGCACCACTGCGTAAAAAGGGGTATAAGAATTGATCATTGGAAGCGTCATATTGCTTTAACAGCGTACGGCGTGCCGAAAATGACCGTACAATATCGAATTACTTAACATAAAACGTCAAGTTAAGAAATTCAGCTTTGGTTATAGTCTAAGACTGTAAGACATTGGTTGTATCAATAAAATTAACTATTACATTTTTCATTTTCCAGGTGAACGTGTGATGGGCCTTTGAGCCATGATGAAGCGAACACCCGTGACGCGGCTCGGTCCAGACGAGCCCGCAGCCATGACGTCACAGCCAGCACAGGTGAGTCTTTCAACTAGTAAATGTTTATACCGAACACTTTACAGACACTTTAAAGACTGCATAGGCTCTCTATGGGCAGGCATGTGTCATCTTAAGTCGCATCTTATTTTAGGTCAGATTGTGAATAAACAATATTTTTCTATTACGCGAGTCATATAGCTATGGACATGTAACTTGCATTTGATCATATTGGATTGCGTATGTAGGTTACAATACTTTCGTGTGTTCCGGTTTTTAAAGACACATTAGCTGATAACCTAATGGAATGTCTGCCCCCACCAACACGTGTTAACCCTTAGTCCTTTTTTGTGATCTCATGTATTTGAGCATTTCCAGTATTTCTTTAGTAACGCAAATATAATACACGCATACTACCAGTCTCCACTAGAATGGAATTTTTTAATTAAACCCATCAATTGTTCTGGGCACCGACATCACTCTTAGAAAACTCGCGATCAATGTGATCGTAAAAGGTGTGTCTTGGTATTCTCCGGCTTCTAAGTCTAAAGTTTCATATTATGTATCAGGTTCACTATTCTTGCTATATGCATGCTACAGAGTTTCCATCTGTTAAGTTTTGCTGCGTCACTACGTATTAAGTATCTTTGTCTTCGTTACGGTGGTACTCGCGTCTCGACCGCGTTTACTTTACATTCTTGCATAGAGCTGACGAATCGTTGTTGTATAGGGTTATCCGAATAGATCGCAATAGGTTAAGAATTCGTGTGGTTCCACAAAAGAAGTATAAATGTAACGCCTTGGTTAACTTTTGTGTTCATATCATAATGGACAGAAAAGCCTTGAGTTTTTTGTACTTTTAGTTTTTGCTACGAGATCAAACTGCGTCGAAATGGAAAACATTTAGATTTGAATTTTTGGTGTTGGATATGTTTTTTATTCTAGCAATCTACTATAACATAACATGTTATATCAAAGTCGTTCGCCTCTTTTGTCTGACTAAAATATTGAACATATTTTGATGAACAATTTCTATGCGTGTTTTTTATTAAAAGACCAAGTAATTTATGGTGAAGTTCTAAGCATTAATTAAGGTATTGTGTAGATTAACTGAAATATGGCGCAGTGTTTAGCGCGTTGGGTCAGCGATCCGGAGGTTAAGTATTTTCACAAGGACAGCTCATAAGATGGGTGACCAAAAATTTATTATATCGAGTTCCTCCACACGTTAGAGAAGCCATTGATCCCAACTTATCAACAGTCGTTAACACCAACCAATGTGTGGTGGATCATGGCTCATTTATCGTATCCTATTTGATTTCATAATAATAATAATATAAACAATAGCTTGGTGATAATAATGACGAACTGAAGTATGGCGATGATTGTTGAAGATGTCACATAAAATGATTTAGTCTGCTACCATACTGTATAAGTCATTAATTATGTCGAAAATATTGCGGCAAATAAAGTGTGATTAGAAAGATCATTGTGAAATTATTTCTCACAAGATGAGTAAATTTATAACAGGGCATAAATTACTATGCTATGTAATAAGGAGAAAGCATCAGTCATTTAGGTTTCTTAATTACAATAGAAATTCGTAATACATATAATCAATTCGTAAGAATTGATGGCATTAAATAAAACTTTAAATCACTATTTTCTTTTTAAGTAAGAGTTTCAGTGCGATTTAATTTCAATTCTCGCAGATTTCTTTCACCCCTCGCTGCCTTTGTCGGTTTTCAATAACTCGCAATATTAAGCTTTTAATAAATGTTAATGTTAAAAATAAACATCGAGGATATAATAATAGTGTTGATTCCCCTCAATCCCGTGGCTTTCCTCTGTAGGTCTGCTCCACTGCGTACAAAGGGGTATATGAATTGATCATTGGAAGCGTCATACTGCTAGTGCGGCGTACGGCGTGCCGAAAATGACCGTACAAGAATATCGAATCTCTTAACGTACAATTTATTCTTTAAATGACGTTTGTTGTATGATGTCTTGCCACAACAACGCGTTATTGTAGCATTGTTGTTTCTGTATACTTATAATCACTTTTATTTTCCTAATGATATGGAATAAAATCAAGAACAAATTAAATGTTTCAATAATTTACAACGTTAATTAGATACCCCTATCGTATCATAAACATCGGAAATACAAAGTGTCTCCAATCTAACCTCTCCAACACTCGCTCCAATATTAGAGATATAAAAAATAAATAATAAATAAATTATTAATCTTCTTTAATTTCTTTCCTTGATATAAATGTATAGAAATTTATAATTTTTAGGGACCTAAAAATATATCCCTATTAATACAGCTTATCTATTACTTGTTGACATCGCAAACTTTTGTGAGTCCTATTTATCTAATAAAATGTAGCATTATATGTCACCCGGTGATAATGTAGCTTTATTTTACAGTAGTTGTTATTTTTAAGATCCATTTTTAAAAAAATTAACCGACTTTAAACGTGAAAAATAATACTTTGGTCAAAAGCGACTTATTCAAGAATTTAAGTTGGATGGTGGTTTTCTGTAAGTTATTATTAATACATAGGCGCCATAGAATCATGCTTTTTATTGATATTAATATTTTTATATAATTGGTAACGTTAAAAATACTTTTTTTAAAACCGCGACAAAACCGTGTTAAAGTGCGAGCCTCCATTCTTTATTTAGTCAGTTAATATAACTAAAACCTTCTCGTAAGTCTGACAAATACCATGCTGAAAATTGAAATGGGACAACACCGGAAGCACCAGCTTTCAAATAAAAGATTAAAAAAATCAATAGGATTTGTTCACCCTGTAAAAAGTTTTGAGGTAACAAACATCATGCATACTGAATGCAAATTTAAGTCTTTTATGGTTTTCACATAGATGCCATTGGCAGGTCTGGACCAAATTGAAATGAGACCACACTAGCTTTCAAATAAAAAGGAATCATTGATGAATAAACTTAGTAAAACCCAGTAAAAAGTTATGAGGTAACAAACAGAAAAAAATACAGTTGAATTGAGAACCTCCTCCTTTTTTAAAGTCGATTAAAATTGCAAATGTCTCCTCTTTATAATATTATAATGTTGCGGATAGTAGTTTTCTTTAAGTAGCCTTTTAACAGTGTAGTTACATTTTGATCCTATTAATTTTTATTAATATGTTAAAGAATTCAATAAATTACTCGACGATTTCAGTAGCTAAATGGAGCTAGACGCTAGTTTCAAGAAGTCGCTGCCTCCGAGGTCCCGAGTTCGATTTTTGGTACGGTCAGTGTTGCGAACCCCCGTTGCTATTGTATGTTTACTTATCCAATATTTATGAATGACTACCATAAATGCTTCAAAGTACAAAATTGACCCGATTATTTATCTCCAAGACGATCCCTTTTTCCTTTCCTTTTGTTGTGTTAAGATAAGGATGTTAATACGTCATCTGTTTGGCAGTTTGATTGATTCTGTGCACCTTGATATTGTGCCAAAGGTATTGTATGGTTACAGCATTGTTATGGGTGGCGTTTGAGTAGTATCCAATCCTATTCGTATGTACCTACGTGATTGTTAACAGTTTTATGTTAAGATCGAACACATGGTATATTTTGTGATTTTCAGCTAAAATAAAATGATAATCCAGCATGGTGTTCATGTGGATAGAGAATTTTGTTCTCGGATTAAATAAAGGTAAATTGAAATCTTCATTTTTATTGCCCTCGGCACATGCCCGGCAAAAACTAGTATATTAAAATGAAAAAAAAATAATTTTTTTTTGCATTGAACAGGCTACAAAACTATTGGAGCAATTTAAAAAATTCTTTACCTACGGGAAGCTATGTCATACACGGGTGACATAGGCTCAAAATTCGGCGTGCGAAGTCACGGGAAAACAACTACAGTAAATAGAAATAAGTAAAAAAAAACGTTCTATTCATAAACTGAGTTAATTTGTAATGATTTTTATTTGACCTACAATATACATACTTGTGTGTACAAATGTTATTATTTAATGAATAAGAGTGACCGTAAGCTGTGTGTATGTCGTCGCATCTCACTGTAACTGTTGATAACCTGTGTATTTACTTGTCGAGTTTATCTTGTTATCTGTAATGAACATATACACAGCACATAGTATTTTAGGTCAATAATTAACGGTTTGCGTCTTTAAAGAGTGCTTATGCGTTTTGTCGCAAATACAAAAGTTGGTGCGGAAAAATTAGTTTTCTTATATATATATATATATATATATATATATTTAATTATAAGACAAAGTAATACTTGTACAAAGAACCGTTTAAGTGTGAGTTGGACTCGCGTTCTCGGAGTGCTAAAGTCCGTCTTCTAGTATAGATAAATTGTCATGTGATCTATAGGTAAATATGTAATTATTTTCTGTTTTTTTTTTTAATTTTAAGTCATGAAACACGAACTCTGCCAAAATAACCTACTATGCTTAAAAAAAATATAATAGATATCCTGCCTTTGCTGCGCCTACATATAAATAATGGTTGCTCAATTGAAGAATTTCGACCATAATGGATTATAATAAACAAGCGGTTTGACCACGACATCGAACGCTTAATAACCTATGTCACCCGCGTATGATATAGCTTTCCGTAGGTGAGAGAATAAATATTTGTAAAGTCCTCTTTCTTTATTATTTTTCAAGAATTATTAAAACACCATCCGTGCAGTTTTCGAAAGAGGTATTTTTTAGAAGTACATTTCAAAAATACAAGTTAATATTGTAGTCATTCATAAGTGTTTACTTTTTTAATTGACTTACTATTCCGCCTTTTATGCTTTAAAATTTAATTAATCTATTAACTAAAACAAGCTTTGTTATCTGTGACAGAAGGCATAATTGGATTTACCTACTTTTGTATTTCTTTTATAAATCGACCACTTATTTGCTTTATAAAAAACAAGGCCGTGCACTTTCGTTCTTGTATACAGAAAGGTTATTTTAAAGATGCACGCTTGTTCTATTTTTATTATAGTTGAATCACACCCATGTTTTAGTTCACAATTCGCATTGGCAAACGATCAAAGTTTTTTTTGCTATGTTGACAGAAGTCTGTTTACATATTTTCCTTTTCTTTAATAACTGAAAGAGTATTATATGTCTTTGAGTCGGTTGAATCTAAGTTCCTTTAAAGCATCATGCTGTTTAATAATTATCTATTCTAGTGATCTTTGACTTTCGAGGTGGGTCCATGTGTTTGAACAGTCCTGATTTAAGGCTTAAGGTTCATTTGCTCTTAGTTACCAAAAATAGGGTACTTGTCACTATATCAGGCGACGAGTGACATTAGTATCACCATTTCCATAATGTTTTTTGTATGAATCTAAACTCAACTCGAACACTTGTCAAACCAGTGAAAAACTAGTTAGTTTTACCGTAGCATTATTAACCTGTCAGTGAAACTAGTGGAAATGAAGGTCATCTATGATTGATTATAATTTAGTGATACGCCCCAGCTTTACACAAATGTAATTTACATGAAATAAGCTCCTACAAAAGTCTGTATGATTTTACTGACATTATTTGTGATTTATAGATAAAATAAAGAATAGTTTCAAGTATCTTCAAATAAACCACATTGCATACACTTCTCTATTTTATGATAGCGTCGCGGACCACTTTGAATGTTTCCAGGGAACACCAGGGATGTTGAAAGTTAAGAAAAAAAGCAAGATCTAAATAGAAAAGCGGAGGATTTAAATACTGATGAGCAAAAAATATGCCCTAATGAAAACTAGAGAAGCTCCCTTACCTGAATTTATGTCTTTCAAAATTTAAAAATTTTATATGACGTCATATAAAAGATTATTGAAAATGTTACGTAGATATCATCAAATGATCAGTTTCATAAGTCAGTTTACACAAAATTGTAATATATTTGAAGACAAATATATATGTTTTGTAATACGTGTTTAAGGGTGTATTTATTAATAAGTTTCTCTATTGTCACAGATACAGCAAGCTGGGGCAAGTAATATGCACACATTAGCACAATCAGCACAACCACAACAAATTCTCGGTGAGTTTATATATAGTAATTTTATTTTATTTAATTAATTAGATCTACATACTCGTACATACCTTTGATAAACCTAAGCAAATTATTACATTTTCGATATATCTCATATCGAACAAAAATATACGTGTTTTTCATTAAAAATATTTATCAGTTGTAAATTTGTGAATTTATCAGTTACCTAGTCTAGCAAAATTGATCAAATACCTAGTCTAGCCAAAGTTCTATTACAAAGAAAATATCCGATTTTTTTTTAATAACTGTTTTAAAGTTTTATACGTGATTATATAGAGTGAAAAAGATATGTTAACGTACTAAACAAGTTATTCGGTGCCCACCCTTAGCTTTAATGCACGCTTTTAAACGGTCTGGCCACTCGTTGATGGATTTACGAACGGTTTCCATTAGAAATTTGGTCACTGTTGCTTCCGAAGATTTCTTGAGCAACTCAATATTTGGGTGACGCCTAGAGCAGGCCATGTCCTCTAGCACAGACCACAATTTATAGTCCAAAGGGTTTAAGTCCGGTCTAACCGAAGGCCAATCATCAGTCTTTATCAAGTGTGGAACATTTTGCTCAAGCCAAAATTCCGCACAGTTCCGCGCAAGTTCCACACTTCATAAAGACTAGGTAGTGCGCACCTTATGACCCGGGGCTGAATCCTGTTGGAATGTCCACACTTCGTTTTTGAATAAGGTGTTGTTGAGAGGTTGAACTACCGCCTCTTACACGGTATCTTGATACACTTTGGCTAAAGTTTTCACTCCTTTTTCGCAAAAATGGAGTTTTGTAACCCCTTGATAGGAGACACCCCACCAAACTCAAAACTAACCAAAATCATTTCTAAATAAAAAAACATACAATAATGGCGGGAAAGAAGTCTATTTTTTTATCGTAAAAGCTGTTCAAAATAATGTTTGTAAACAGCCAGTAACAGAAGTTATGGCTAGACTATGTATAATGATTAAAAAATAGCAATTGAAGTAAATTGTTTCTTAGAAGATTGGTAATCAAGCATTAATGTCAAAAAACATATTCAGAGATCTTAATTACGATTATTAGGTAAATCTTAGTAACGTTTATTTATACAAAATTAGATGTGTGGACAGTATTGTATGTTGACACGAATTATATTTTATCTTAAATGATCAAACAAAAGGCCGGCTATTTGAGATATTTAAGTAACAATTCACTTAATATGAAGAAACGAGAGAAAATGAAACTAAAATATTGTCAACGTGGTATTATTATTAAAAATAAAAATATTAGTGCCATTTTATTTGATATTTTTATTTTTTCTATAGATGAAATCTCCATATTCGTTTCCAGTGTTTGTAATTTATGTTTTTAGCTTTAAGTGTGATATTTTGTGAATTAGATATATGGAAGTTATTAAAATATCATTATTTCAATAAATTAAAAAGTTGTATGTAGCTTTTTCATTTGATAAAATTAAAGAAAAGTGAGAAGAGTATTTTGTGATCAGCTGCTTCCAATTTTTCCTTAAAAGTTTGTATGTACAATTGTATATGACGATTAATTAAAATCTCATTCGCATTAATACTGAACCAGGATTTATTTGTCTACGGTAAAATTCTTGTTCATTGATTTTGTAAAAAAAAACGATTTAATCAATATCACCTCAAGTCTAACAGATAATAACAATACGATAACGAGATAAATGATAAGGCTTGATAGTATATCAAACAAAACAAATAGTATTGCATCATTGGAAACATGTTACATTTGTTGCTGTTGAATAAAAATGATTATCTGTATTAGCTGAGTAGCTGAGCAATGAACTTTTAAGCCTATGCTTGGATTCCTGGGTGGAATCGATACCGGATGGCTGGTGATGATGATGAAAATGAGATATTTACAGCCTGCAATTTGTTTGTTTGCTTGCTTAGGTGGTAGTGCGATGCTGTCGGTGGGTGGTGTAGGAGGGGTGGGCGGTGTGGGATTCGGTAGGACTGCGCCCCGCGCGGCTCCGCCAGTCATCAACTACTTGAAGGCCGGCGCCGTGCAGTACGCCGCCTCGAAACAACCGCAGGTGCCGCCCAGATTGAAGGTTAGTACTCATCTCTACCACTCTTATACACTGATGACTGTTATAAGCGCTGTTGTGCAAAATCGTGACTTTTCGGAAGAGGCTCTTAAAGTTGTTACAAAGTGGTTATTTTTATAAAGATATATTTAAAGTGGAAAATTAATTAAGATTTCGGTCATATCCTCAAGTACATTCAAATTAATGAGAAAAATTATTTAGAACGTGCTTTTATAGTATATTTTTTCGTTCCCTGTTTGTTGCATTGGGTGGCTTAGTATAGATCAAATATATTTTTAATGCATAACTCAGAGAAACTAAAAAATATATTAATCTTAAATAGCGAACTACACGTTGTTACATGTGTACTATATGCAGTGACGTAGCTGCCGTCGTATCAGCCGTATCAATAATACGAACCGGACTACAGAGGCTAACGTATAAGAAAATTTTTTTATCTTTTTGAGCCCAACAAATTTTGATCCAAGGAAAGCCACGCCACGGACTATATTGTCAATATTACTGTTACCCTCTCCAGTAAATTAAACGCTACTGAATGGGGTCTTCAGTCCTTTCGGATACGTCGGTGACGTGTGGTCGATTGTTCGCAGACTAACGTGGAGGCTTACCCACAGCTGTTCGAGCATGCCACGCATGCGGTGCAGCCGCTGCAGCACGCGCCGCTGCCGCATGCGCAGCACACCGCGTTGCAGCACGCGACGCACTCGCAGCATGCCCCGCTGCAGCACGCCCCACATACTCCGCACACACCGCAGGCGGGCAGGGGGGGCTCCCCGCCGCCACCCGGTGCGCAGTTCCAGCGTCTGAAAGTGGAGGACGCGCTGTCTTACCTCGACCAGGTCAAGTACAAGTTCAACACCCAGCCACAAGTCTACAACGATTTCCTAGACATCATGAAGGAATTCAAAAGTCAGACGTGAGTATCGTGTTGCTATTATTTTCTGTTGTAAACATTCTATGGATAAAACTTCTATTCCACTATAAATTAATGCTGTCCCTTGACAAATAGATCGTTTTGGATATTCAAAGATAAAATAAGGAGAGTTCTTGAAAAATTGAAGAATTATGACTATATTCAGCATTCGGCGAATGTGGAGTTACGTAACTTTCATTTCATCGCCAAATTAGGAAAACACGTTAAGTCATATCTGTCTCAGATGCACCACTAGTTTTTAAGATCTACAAATCCTGGGTCCCTTGTAGCTTAAAAGTAAAATCGGCCAGCTAATGAGGATATCATTAAACGATCCAAACTATATACCTTGTTGGATCAATAAAAAAAGTGATCTAATCTTATTATTATTGTTGCAGCATTGACACCCCTGGTGTTATCACTCGCGTATCGAACCTTTTCAAGGGTCACCCGGAACTGATAGTAGGCTTCAACACTTTCCTACCGCCAGGGTACAAGATAGAAGTACAGAGTAACGGCCAGGTAAGATTTTCCTAACAGGGGCTGAAAATGAAAACAATATTCAAATATGCTCATTGGATTTAAAATAGTAATCAAAACAGAATTTAAAATAAAACAGGCTCACAATGTATTTATTACCAGAAAAAATCTTTTCCTTCGATTCAAATAGATATTTTTCATTTAAAAGCCACATGCTTATATTATATTTAATCGGTCAATAAACCTTTGGCTAACAAATCATATTACAAAGTTTGTAAAATGATTATATCATTGTAATGATAATGTTTATATAGGTATCAGTCTCGATGCCATCTCCCGGCGGTCTGTCGGCGGGAGGCGGAGCGCCCGTGCTGCTAGGTGTGCCGCCGCCTCAACCACATCTTGTACAATTACTGCCGGTGCCGCACCAGTAAGTCCCCTTCAATTCATACTATTACTACATTTGCAATTTATCAGTAATAAAATTATACTGTACTCTATTTATACATTAATGTTAGGTTGGGGAAAAGTCTTTTCACATATACTTGTAATGCACAAATTTGTAATAGAATCTTTCTACTATGTGTATCAGGCTCCTTTCGGTATTATTAAGTTTAAATTTTAAAGAAGGTAACTTCGAATTCAAAGTATGAAAATGTGTTTTCATTTCAATTTCATTTGTTTTCTTACTGTTAGTGAAAATAAGTGAATCTAATGAGGAATTTTTAAAATTTTATTATAAAAAAGGTAAAAATGCAACACATTATGCAACATACAACACACGCGCCAAAGAATTTGTGTAGATTATGGACCTAGTGCGATTTCTGTGAGAGTAGCCCAAATATGATTTAAGCATTTTCAGTGCAGAAATTTAATGTCAAAGATTCACGTTGCTTCGGTCGTCCTGTTACGGATAAAATGGATGCCATTTTTGGAAAAATTGAGCAAGATCAGCATATCAGTAATTGCGACGTAGCTAAACAACTAAGGATTGACCACAAAACAGTTTTGACGCATTTAAAAGTTGGATATTTGGGTACCTCGAGAGCTCACTGAAAGAAAACTATTGAACCGTGTGCCGTTGATTCTTTATTACAGCGTAATGAAACCGAACCATTTCTGAAGAAGCTGATAACTGGTGAGGAAAAGTGGATCACGTACGACAAGAACGTTAGAAAAAGTTCGTGGCCAAAGGTCGGTCAGGCTTCACAGACTGACGAAACCCAGGTTAACTCGCAAAAAGGTGATGCTAATGTGTATGGGGGGGGGGGGGGGTGAGAAGGGCATTATTAATTACGAGCTATTGCCGCCTGGCATGATTCTGATTTCTACTACGAACAACTGATGAGATTAAAGCAAGAAGTTAAGAGAAAGCGCCCAGAATTAATCAATAGAAGGGGTGTGGTTTTAATCATGATAACGCTAGAGCTCGCACATCTTTTGCCACTCAGCAAAAATTAAGTGATTTGGCTAGGTGTTAATGCATCCACCTTGGTATGGTCCTGAGCTTGCACCTTTAGATTTCCAATTCAGTGTCTTCAGAATTCTTTAGGCAGTGTCGGGTTAACATCACACGAGGACTTGCCGCGGTTTTTTGATCAGAAGCCCCAAAATTTATATAGCAATTGGATTATGTCCCTATCAACAAGATCGCAAGTTATCGAACAAAATAGGGTACCATATTTTTTAAACTAATTATAGGCGATATTGGCTAAATAATGAATTATGATTAAGATTGTAGTACAGATAATACAAGAAAAACTAATAAGACGACCATACAAAGAAATGAACATGTCCGCTTGCACTGCCCTGTCGGCATGTCTCTCGGGTCTTGGCCCTTTTGGCCCCAGGGTAAATACATCCACGCATTTAAGGTCTACTAAAGCTACAGAATTGCGTACAACAAACACTTGCGGCTGCTGAGAGATCCTTGGAGATATTTTATTATAATAATTTATGATTATAATCTTCAGATTAATTTCAAGTTTTATAAAATTTGTCATGTCTTATCCTTGGTCAGCCTTGTTTATAATTTGCAAACACCTAATTTTATAGTAATACCAATAATTTAAATCATTACTTTGTATTAAATAATAATAACAGAATGGTTGATAATACAAATAATAGGATAATATTGCACTATTACACACTCAATTCAGACAAAAAAAATATCACAATAAAAAATACGACTATACAGCAGGAAGCTTTATTGTTAAGTACCAATCACTTCCAGGCAACAAATTGATGAGTCTAATAAAAAGAGGACAGTATTGTATTTATTAACTTTAATAACACAGTGAATCAAATGAAGATATACAAAATTAAAACAAAAATAATTTTAACTTTACAAATCATAAACATATTATTACTACAATAAATGTTTTGGTAATACACATATGTTTTCACAATAAACTTTGTTTTAATCAGATAAAATTTAATTAAAGAGAGTCATTGTTATATCAACATGTAATTAAATTACAATCTTGACACCCCACAATAGCTAAGTTTTGACCTTCCAGTGCATCATTGAGCATTGATCGTCTAATTAAACTAACCATCTCTCTCTAACACCGCTGACGTAACCCGCGGGAAAGGGACCGTCGATCAGCTGATCTAGGAGTTCGACGACCCTTCGGTTATTTTAATATCGATATAAGGCACTGGTCGTCGGTAATGTTTTGATGAAAAGCTTCAGTCGATAAATATTATTACACAAGTTTCAGACATTTACGTTTTGAATGTAATATAAAAACAAATTATGGATGTATCATAACTGATAACATAACAGTGTTTCTCAAGTTTATCTGAACTCGACTAACCCTTGCCGTGACTGCTTCCCCAAAAGTTGGTGAATCAAAGATATAGTCTATTTTATTTTATGATACAACATTATTTTGCAGATCAAAGATGTTCTCGATGTTAATATATTTATAGAAATGAGAATGCGAAATATTTGACAGCAAAAATTTACATAGTATTTAAGTACATAAAATAATAAACAATTAAAATCACAATTTGATAAAAATATGTGGAACAAAGCAGCAGATATCAATCTAATTTTTTTTTATTTTAATTGGCACCATGTCTTTGACACCATGACAATGGGTTCAGGGCTTATTTTCACTGCAGAAGAATAAAGTCCTCAACGTTTAAAGCAGTATAACTTGTATATTTGATTAATTTAACTCAAAAAAAGGTTTAAAAAAATGAAATGGGAAGGCAAGGGATTTCTATAAGTTACACAATATTCTCAGAAATTATAATTATGAATTTTAAATTATCAGTGACATTGATCTCTAAACTTACATGATGATCTTAATTACCGTTCGATACTAATGATAATAAATAGCGGCTGCTCTAAAAGAGTACTGATTTTGATAACCCAATACTCGGACTACCCACTGGAATAGGACAGGTGTGATGTTTTATATTCGTTGCAGATCTGTGAGCAGTGCTATCGTGCACAATCTATCGGTGTCCGCAACACCGGCTAACACGTTGCATCATATATCGCAAGCTCATCAGCAAATAGAAGCGGCTTCAATACATCACAGTGGTGGTGAGTGGTTTATTTTATATACAGTATACTCGGCAAAAATATTAATTTGCGCTTGTAAAAAAAGTCATAGTTGAAAACCTTCAACAAGTACAGCTTACATAATAAACGTCTTTTCGAGACTGAAAAGTTTTCTAGAAAATTTACTTAACTTACGCTTTTGAAAGAGTGAAATAAAATTTAAAAAGTGGTAAACGTGATTGATTATGTCACAAAATTTTCTCTAATAATTTAAAGTGAATTGTATACTATACAACTGAAACCGCATCAAGTTGCTGCAAAGGCCAAATGATACCATACGATTTAATATCATATTATACGAAAATTTATTACTGTAAATTTAGTCTTTTGTATTAATTAAATGTGCTGTTGTGTGTGTTTTTGTTTTTCTACGTACGGATTACATAATGCATTCAAATTCAGTAAGAAATATCTTTGTGACCAAACAGGGACATACTCTATACCACACTATGATGAAATTAATTACCGTTCGATTCTAATGATAAAAACTAGCGGCTGCTCTTTAAGAGTTCTGATTAGTACGTTTACCACTTAGCTTATGCATCGAGTTAGTCAGTTTGTTTAACAAACTAATTGTTTGGTACAAGGTACTGTGCCGGCCACATCCGGGAATTGTCCGCATTCGGGCACCGCACCGCCTGGACAGCCAGTGGAGTTCAACCACGCCATAGAATACGTCAACAAGATAAAGGTATTGAATTGTTAACTATGCACTGTACTTAGTATAATCAAACATAGTTAATAGATAAAGAAAAAGCTCTGACAAATCTGAGAAACAAAAGTATAGTAAGTTTTAACTAATATAGCACATTGCGACTCTTTGTTTGCGTAGAGCAGATCTACCGGTTCCGAGAATAACTGACTTTATGATTAAGATTTATAGTGAGTCTTGTCTCAATAAACATAAGGTGTAAAATAACACGCATTAGGTGTCATTCTTACTCGCGCTCAGCTGGGGTCGGGTGCGGTGATCTTCGATATTGATGGATCTTCGATGGCGTGATACTTGAGTCATTTAGATTGGCTGAGATTTGCCGCGCTTCAAAATTGAGCCTTCTGGGCAGGTATATCAGTGATTGATACACGTCTGTTGTATTTTACTGTTACTAACTTGTTTGTATATCAAGTATATTCTAGATATTGCCTACCTTTAACAGATAATTCTCTTATGTCTGCTCTCATTAACTTACCCAACCCTGAGATAGGTCTTATACCGATATTAGATGGACTACTTTAGCCAATTTTAAATAAAATTTAGGCCTGTGTTAAGGCTCTTATCAATAGCAATTTCAAGTGTTAAGAGATGAACAACAATCATCTTCAATATGGGAGACTCATTTAAAGCTTATTTTCAATTTAGACTGTTATATATAGCAAGTGCTGCACTGGCTGCAAATTACCAATTTTAAAATAGACATTATTTTAAGCTTAAAGCAAACTGCTTAATCGTCTGATCATCTTCTTCCTATGATTCCGTTGCACCTTTTCTTTTTCGCTGATGTCTCTTTTTTCTTTTATCTTCTATTCTCTTCCATCTCGCTGAAGTGCAAAACGACGTTTTTGAGCTAAGGGTCCTTGTGCCCCAATTACTAAAATAACGTTTTCACAAATTGTTTGGTAATTAGAAAGCAAAATTGTAGGTGTATCATTCTACGGCCCATTATGACAATTGAAAAACTATTCTCCAAATAGATTTGTATTAGAGCAGTTATCATTGGCTTATTCCCAGAAGTATGTTTATGCATATACTGTTATGATCAATAAATCCTCAGCGATAGATAGAAGTTTCCAGTAACCTATCTTTACAAATATGTGTAGAATCCATAAGGCTATTGCTAATTGAAGCAAAGCTTATGTTCTGGCAGGGCAATTATATGATCTTTAAACATGTTAATGTGAAACTTTGTGGTCTTAGTATAAGAAAAAATTGAAAAATCTTCACATTGTATATGATTGTTTGTCCATCAGTCAAGGTTCTCCAGGCAACCGGACAAGTACAAGAGGTTTCTCGAGATCCTGCACGCTTACCAGCGCGGCCATCGCGACGGCAAAGAACCACAAGCTAAACAACAAACTGAACAAGAGGTCTACTCGCAGGTAAACAATAAATTCAAATATTATTCTAGGTTAAGAGACTATGCAGTTCCATTATGGATGTATAGTCCTTGCAACCTAAAAGATTTTTGTGCATCACCACCAGGATTATCGTAGCTTTTTCAGCTTAGTTGCGTTAAGAGAAGGTCTGTGTAAGCTAAATCAATAAAAGAATCAAACTTACAATATTATGATTTGACACAGGTTCTCACAACAATTTTCAGAATGCCTTTTGGTTGACATATAAATATATTATTATAAGGTAGAAACGCGTTCTCAGAATACATAAGGGTTTATAAATTTTAAATAGATTTTTTTGCATATTTTGCTCAGTTTATTCTACCTTAAAACTATCAAGGTCATTGTATTCATACAAATAAAGACATTGACTACATATCAATTCAGATCCATAGTCTGAACAATGGCAATCGACAGAGTTAGTAAACAAAATTCAGTTTCGGTACAGATGCAGATATCGTTACTCCATCTAAATATGAAGAACACAATACTCTTATGCCCGTTTTCACTAAACTCATCAACATATCAAACGCATTTTCAAAAGTAAAAATGCGTTTCACCAATGAAAAGGAGCCTCCTTACGACTAAGCAACGCATGAAGTTAGGACAAGCATTGTACGGCAGCCACTAACGTGACATTAGCGAAATTGTGTATGCTGTTGTACATACAATTGTAGACACTGTTATTTTTAAAACTGCACCTCAATAACAAGTTGCAGCTAAAGACTTGACAAGATTGTCTAGTAATTATTCATGTTTCTAATTTAATTTTTCATTATTCTTTTCATTATTTATGAACAGTATTTATGATATTTTGAATGACTTTATTACAGAAAAGAAAACCAAACGTTTTTATAAGATATCTTCATCAAAATTTTTGTCTCTATTTCATCAGTTTGCCTCTCATCATTTTTATTGAGTATGAATCCTAAAATGGTATGCGGTTTTCTATAAATTTGTAACAAAGTTGCTATAAATTTGTATGTTAGGTGGCGAAGTTGTTTGAGAATCAAGATGATTTACTGGCAGAGTTTGGACAGTTCCTGCCAGATGCTAAAGCGGTCACCAAACCCACGCACTATCCACACGCGCGGACACCGCCGCCCGCTCAGGTATACATATACTCGATCGAAAGTAAAAAAAAAAAATTTTAATTTGTAACAATATTACAACACTTTGAATGGGTAGTTTAATTTTTCATAACACTTATTAGGACTTTTATTAACTGTGGAAAAGAAAGTTTCAGATTAGGTTACGTCTTAATGAAACAATCTATTCATGTTTTTCCACCAGATTACATAAATCTTATTTATTTATTATGGTCATTCTTATTTATGAAATAAAACTTTCCACCAGCTGCTTCTGACCCTTGCCTTTTTTTATTTATCCAATGCAAAATGACAAGTGGAATAAAAAGTAGCCTGTTTATTATCCGTAAACAAAACTTCATCACAATCCATTCAGTAGTGTTTGCTTGAAAGATTAATAAACATACATACATTCTTCCTCACAAACTTTCGCATTTATATTATATGGTAGGGTAATGTGATAGGGTTATTATAGTCAAAATACTTTTTGTTTTTGCCATTCCCGTATGACGCTTTCGGCAAATGTATGGTTATTCTTATCTAACCCACTTCAAATGGTTTATATATCAATGTTTTGTGGTAATTTTAATATTTTTGAACACAAAAAACAATACTGTTATTTATTTAGTTTTATTGTTATCAGCAACGAGTCGAAGGAGAACCGGAACGCGCGGTTTCTCCTCCTCTCACGCCACATTCAACTCTGACGCATCTACATACTCAGGTAAATACAAATGACAATTTTGACGTTACATATTAATAATTAAGCTGATTTTTGTCCTACAAATAAGAGGCGGATTTACACTCTTTATTTAACTTTTTATCCCTATGATTGAAACCTAACAGTTTAATATACATCAACAGTTAGGGTATTCTTAGTTAATATTTTAACTGATAATACTCATTATATTGTTTATACAGCCACCTCCTAAGCATCAAACGGTAAGCGTTCCACCACCACAGCATCTGAAACGGTCGCCGAGTTTCTCCGCATCCAACCAATTGCGTAAGTTACACTAAGCTTTATTTAAATATTACCTATATTGAAGCGTATTTATTGTTAACAACTCTTGCTCCATATAATTTCATTAATTTTATAGTTCATTCTCAGGACATTGATGCGAAAATATAACGCCCTTTACAATAAAATAAACGAACACCATATGAGTTACGGATTCGCGCGTAAAATTCTTATCTAATCTGTTTGTAGTACAAAAATAAATAATAAGGAATAGGTGATAGAACTATTACATTTCTTATCAGCCACGGGTGGTCCACCGGCTAAGAAATGTCGGTTGTCCAGTACAAGTGACCGAGGCCCGAGCACCGGAGTAGGGGCTGCGGGAGGAGACCGAGGCGTTCCGGGTGCTACGGGCGCTGCCGCCATACGGGACGTATCATATGCTGAGGCCTCCAAATATGCCACCCATTATGAATACAGCTTCTTCGATAGAGCCAGGAAGGCGCTCAGGTCACAACACGTTTATGATAACTTCCTAAGGTTTGTATTATTATCATTATTAAATATATATTTATAATATTATTAAAGAGATTAAGATTTTAGCTTTGTTTGTAATCTTCACGAATACAGATCCAATCATGAAAATTCTTTAATTTACGAGAAGTTACATCACACGTTTTTACAAAAATATAATGATCATAGTTCAAAAAAATATAAAAAAACACTAAAAGAGAACTCTTTTTGTCCAATTTCAGAATATAATTTAAATTTTGTCCTGTAGGTTGGATAATTTAAATGTTGGAGATAGTTCTGTTTTATATTTTTGTTGTAGTTATTATGCAAAGGTAGGAAATTCAATGGTATTAGTGAAAAGATATCTGGATATGTTTATATTATAGGATGACACTCTGATAACACAACTCAAACCTCCGTGGTTTTTTGATGTTATCTTTAACTGTTATTTTTTTTTACTTGACAATAAAGGAAAAAAAGTGATAAGAGGTATATTAGTGTCGGCTTGAGATTTTTGAAAGAATGTAGAATTTCTGTTTTTCTGCTAGAATCTCATAAAGTTTTGATTTTTCTTCAATAATTAAAGCAGAATAAATGTATAATGAAATATGAGCCAAGTCGAGATTAAATATATGGCACGGTCGCCGAACACACATAATTCGTAAATCACTTTCTCTCGTGCGCAAACATATTGGTATCGCGATTGTATATATGCATCACGGCAATTTTGCCATAGTGGAGCGACCCTAAAATGTTTACGATATCTATCAATGGGGACAAAGTTCAATTCGATTTTTTTTCTGTCGGTGACCAAAGTTTAGCATAATAATTGTAATATACGAGAAGTTTATAAGATATGGTTTGTGATGCAGATGCCTGCTGCTGTTCACTAACGAGATAATATCGTCATCGGAGCTGGTAGTGGTGACTGGTCCGTTCCTGCTGCGACACCCGGATCTCCATCGCTGGCTGCAGGACTTCCTCGGACCCGCCGCCACCGCCCCCGCCACCGATCGAAACCATCTCACCGGTATGTACCACCACACCTGTACCTGACCCAACCTGCACCCAATCCTGTTCTTTTTCTCTTATAGTCGACAAAATAGGGCAAATTGAGATACTAATTCAGTGTAGAGTTCAAGTGCAACATCTCAGAGTTGACTTTTGCAAGGATTTTGAGACGTGTTAAGTTGCCGTGTTTCAACATTGTTGGTATAAATATTTTTTGTTAACTTTTATCTAAATATTTTCAGCCATTATAAAAATGTCTCGAAGCTGGCTTTCGCGACAGTTTCCGGGACACTCGGTGTGTTCTACTCCGTTTGAAATAAAACTTGTAACTATTTATTTTAAAAAAGCCGTAGAACAAATATTTAGGAAAAATAAAAATATTTTCTTCCCTTAAAATCAAATCAAAATTTAAACATTTATATATCTTTGACTAGTCTGACAGGTGTCGCCACATAATGCCGCGACGTGTTTCAATTCACGTGACACACAATATGCCACGACTTTTAATTTTAATATTGCGATTTCAAGACTCAAAATCAGAATTTCCATGTTTTTAACTATGTAAATTTGTAGTAATGTATCTGTAAATTTTAGTTATTGTGCAATTACCTGACTTATTTACACTACCGAACCTACCCTATTGTGCGATCGGTGCGGTGCATTATTTTCTTTTCAAGAACAAGTTTCTTCTAATACATGTTTGACTACATATTTTGAAACTCTTGTTATGTATGGTCCCATGTCAGTAATAAATAAATTAAAATAGTTCTCCATTACCAATGTATATTTGACTTTACATAGGAAAACAACAAGAGATACTCAGGGTGATTCTTTTTTATACAGGTTACAACAACAGCACATTCCCGGGTGCGAACAGCTTCCTCGGGATGGACCGCGAGCGTGAACGTTCGCGGGAGAGCGAGCGGCCGCTCGAGAAGAATGTTCGTTACGAACCACTCGGAGCGCTCGGCGCGCAGCTGAGACACGATAGACCGCAGGGCGACGCCGCCATGGATATAGGTATCGTACTTTTGGCATTATCTTATTTCTCAAACAATAGGGATGATGCCAGTGTAAAAAATAGAAATTCTATTTAGTCCGTTAGTCAGATAATAGTAAAATATTAGATACGTATTTTTTTATTTGTCTGTCAGATTGTAGAAAAATACTAAACACGTATTTTTTTTGCATAATCATAAATTACGACGACACATTGCATTATCGAGCGATACATTGCATCGGTAATCCAATGTATCGCCACAATTTTAGTAGCGAGCCCCCAGTCCTCAATTTTAATGCCTATTATCTAAGCTATTTCTTAAAATGAAGCAAAAAAAAAAAAAAAAATACATATTTTATATTACTAAATTTAATTTCTTTTTTTAACCCATTCATCATCCTTATTGGAAAGAGTAATTTACATCCAATACTATATCATTGCTGCATATTTTGATGTAAGAACAAAAGGAGTCATTCATTTAAAAAAAAACATGTTCTAGTGCAGCAACCTATACCACCTGTTTCCATAATATACCATATTACTTCTTAAAACTTGAGTTACAATTTATTAATTGAAATTTACTTGGACAATTAGAGATAGTAAATTTAATGCCTGCTTCGTTTTTATGATTAAATCCAATAGAGGTGATATGTTTCTGTTGAATATTAACAGATAATGTAAATTTTGTCTATAGATTTGTCGACATGCAAACGCCTGGGCACTTCATACTGTGCGTTGCCAAGAGATGCAGCGGCCAGGAGATGCTCTGGACGCACGGCTCTATGTAAAGAGGTCAGTTTCTATTAACGCTAGGTGTTTAGAATTGTGTTTTAAAATTTATATAATATACATTAATCTTGAGCAATCCACATCACTTACAAGAACACAGGGATGCATATCTTTCAACTGGCATAAAGAGTAAATATTGCTGAGTTGAGAAGAAGAGCTAGATATTGGTGAGACAATGATGAAAACACATGCGATGTGCAATCACTGAAATATTGTGTTGATACATGCATGCTGCCTTCCTACTGATGTCTCATGAATCAATTTTTGTGTAACTCGCATATTAAATATAAAAAATGAGCATCTATTTCTTGTATGTTTATGATTTTTATAAGAAAAAGAACCACCAATTTGAAAATATGGAATCTTGATAAATGATATACAATATTTTTATTACTTGCTTGCGAGTTACTCAACTCTTATGTCCATTAAACACATAAAAATATAGATTAGTTTGCAATATTATACTCTAATAAATACAAACATTATGAACACACAATTACATATTTACACGTACCTACATACTCGACGCATTTTCGTATTTAAATTTAATATTAAATTCTTAATGTCGCAGGTGTTGAATGATACTTGGGTGTCATTCCCGACTTGGAGTGAGGACTCCACATTCGTTACCTCACGGAAGACTCAGTATGAGGAGTACATTTACAGATGCGAAGATGAACGGTTTGAGGTAAATATATTGTTCAGATAACTAGCATTTCTTAGATGCATGGTTTTTTAGGATGTCCTGTGCCTAGGTTATATTGTTTGTAGGTAAGCATTGTTTGTGTGACGTCAATAATAGCAAAATATTAAAAAATGTTACATACAGGCAGTGCACGTCAGTTTATTACAATATGTTAAATTACTCCAGTTGATTTTAATCTTCAATCTTAACATGTTAAGATTAAAGAAATTAAATTAAGAAAGATTGGTTACAACCTGCTGTGCTGTTGACTGTACATGGAAAAAGCGTGACGAAACTTCAATGATACACAAAGTGCTTTTATAATTTATTGAGACAATGATGAAAACACATGCGATGTGCATTTACTGAAATGTTGTGTTGATTCACGCATGCTGCCTTCCTACTGATGTCTCTATAATTGCCATGAAATGTATAAACAGCAAAGTTTGAAAACATTCGGTTTTTAACTAATTTATGAACGGTTTATTAGCCAGTGCTTTCCGCTTTATCACATAGAGCACATTCAAGATTAATAATGTTAATAATGTACATATACCTAATAAAAGGTACATAAAAAGTTATTTGTAGACAAATAGTTCAATATTTACTGCACAATTAACAGTTACTGTATTTCTATTTCTTCTTGGAATTTGTTTGATAATTTATTTGATCTTGTTTTTATAATCATAATTTTCACCATTTTATTATTTGTTATTTAATAGAGCCCATGGAAATTAATAATGATGATGTGTACTCATGTGCAGCTAGACGTGGTGATAGAGACGAACGCGTCGACGATACGCGTGCTGGAGGGCGTACAGAAGAAGCTGTCCCGCATGAGCGGCGAGGAGGCCGCTCGTTACCGTCTCGACGATTGTCTCGGCGGTTCATCGCCCACCATTCACCAGCGCGCGCTCAAACGCATATACGGCGAGAAGGTGGTACGCGACTCCATTCCATTCCAGTACACTACACTCCACCCCCTTATTTTAACACTAAAGTCTGCCTCGCCCATCATACACTAGCGGGCGCTCAAATGCATATACGACGAGAAGGTGGTACGCGACTCCATACCACTCCATTACACTACACTCCAATCCCTCACTCTCACACTGTAACGACTGCCTCGCCTATTATACACCAGCGCTCAAACGTATATACAATGAAAAGGTGATACGCGACTTCACTACACTACATCCCCTCACACACTGTAACGACTGCCTTGGTGGCACAAAAATCTCCCGTATGCAGTATCGACCATCATATGCACTTTATATGTTCACATCTCAGTCACACTTACCATCAATTCGCTTCTATCAATTAGTTCTACCATTGCAATAATAAAATAAAAGTTTTCATATCATTGTAACACCTTGCATCTAATATCATCATCTATTATCATTAATTATCTTAAGTTTTTTTATTCTTAAATTATCATGTTAAAAATATGACTGACGCAATTTATTTTAATTAATCAAAGGATTAGTATAGGACTTGCCTCTCTTTCTTCTACCCTTAGTAAAAATCAAGTATATTTTATTGTTATTTTTAATTCAAATGAACAGTTTATAAACTGAAGTGACTAAGTGACTGAGAAGAAAAAACTTATTATTGGTTGTGATTATAACATAATCAATAAATGTAATAAGTTGTTTGTTTACAGGCAGTGGACATAATAGCAGGCCTCAAGAAAAACCCTGTGGTAGCCGTGCCTGTTGTACTGAGGAGATTAAAAGCTAAAGAGGAAGAGTGGCGAGAAGCTCAAAAGGTAAAACTACATATCTTATGTTTATAAAATTATAGAGTAAACAAACGCAGCATTGGCTAATATTTATATAAAATAAGTTAATTTAAAATAGGGTTGTTTGGCTAACTTTCTAATTTTGTTTATGTTGTAATACGCTTCAGTAACCTGTAATGTTTAATTTCACTGATAATGATTTCCTTTTCTAGCAATGTTGCATAGTTTCAAGAATTGTCTGTTGTGTTGGTTTTTTTTTTTAATAGTTCTAGTTAATTTTTATCCCTACGTATTATATATATAGACAAGCCTAATTGGAAGAAAAAGTAGTTAATAAAATACAGTGTAAATTATGCTTATTATTAGTGAACAGTAATTCTGGGATTTTTCTGTTACAAATTCCTAAAAAGATTTTTCTTTTTATTATATTAGTATAGATGATTCAATCTATTATTATTGACTATTTTATCGCCAGGGCTTCAACAAGCAATGGCGCGAGCAGAACGAGAAGTACTATCTAAAATCGCTGGACCACCAAGGCATCAATTTCAAACAGAATGACCTGAAGGCGATGAGGTCCAAGAGTCTGTTCAATGAAGTAGAGAGCGCGTACGCCGCTCGGAGACCGGGACCTCACCTTATTGTGGACTATAGGTTACACTCCAGGCAGGAAGGTAATAATACTGTTTTCCCGCGTCTACACCCGCTAAAATTGATATGATGTAGATTCACCTTGCCCCATAATAGTTGATCTTTATGGCTTCTGTCAGTTAAGTTATATATAGCACAGGAGCCAGGGACCACCTGCATATGATGAAGCTCCCGTAGTTAAAAGAAAGATTAATATCAGTCCAGTAGTTTTGCGCTCTAACAGTCTATATAAATTGGAACTGTAAAGGGACAAAATGTTAGAATACGTGAAATTACATATGCCTTTACTGTTTCTGTAGTGATTACATAATTCATTAAAATGAAATAATAATTGCTTTTGAATAACAAATAACCAAATCATACAAGTTTAAAGGTAATTTTATCAAAATAATAACTAATCAACGATTTTATGAAAGTAATAACCATATTAATGTCTAATTGTTACAGCTATAAAGATCCTGCGAGATTGCACGGAATTATTAATACATCACGCAAGGAGACAAACCGGCATACAGAAGGTGGAGAAGAGGAGGATCAAACAACTGCTGAGGCATTTCCTGCCTGATCTGTTCAACCATCCCAGACAACCGCTCTCAGACGACGAAAGGGATGAAGGTATGTATACTCTCTACTCCTTATTATAATTGTGATTCAATAGTTTATAAGTTAAGAAACTGTAAATAAAACTGTAACTTGGTATATCTACTGTGTGACTTTTTGAATTGTAAAGAAATAGCAACTCTGCAAGATTTATATTTCTCGCTCTTTTATTGATAATAATGATTTCACTTAACTAAGAAATATCACGCGCTTATACTTAATCATAAATAAACAAAAATGTTGTATGAACTACAAAAACAAATAACAAAATAAAATATTTGTTGTTGACAGAAGAGAAAGAGGAACCGCTAAGTCCCGGCAGTCCCGCTGAACCCGGTGACGACAAACAAAACAACACAACTGTCAAACAAGAGAAACCAGAGGTGAGTATCGCTCTCATATATCAATACATGTTTTCCGCCTGCGGCTTCACCCGCATAATATTTGGTGATTACCGCCCTTCGTAGCCTATATAGCTACAAAAATTATCTTGTATTCCTTCCTAAGGTCTACTCTATCTGTGCACCAGTGTAAAATTGGTTCAGTATTTTAGGCGTCAAAATGTATTAGACTCTCACACAGATAGTTACAGATGCGTTCGCGTATATAATTTGGATTATCATCCCAAAAGTGAAGTAACAAAAATAAATAAATATTACACAACATTGCTGAGATAGTACTCATATTATAATGTAAAAAACAAAAACATTACAAACCTGAAAAGAAAAGAAAAATGAAAAGTTCATTTTATATACAGACACAAACAGAACTTGTATCCCAGCCGTCATCTCTGAGCTCCCAGAGATGACGGCTCCTTGAAAATGGAGTATGAAAAACTCTTCCGCAACTACATCCACATGTATTGTTAAATTTCAAACTCAAATATTAAATATTTTGAGGGTATTTCTAATAAATCGTTTTCTATTTTCAAACAGTCGTCAGAATCTGACAACGCCTCGGACAAGAGCGGCAGAAACAACAAGAATGACAAGGAGAACAAACCCAAGAACAACAATAATACAGACATCAAAGGTAAACAGAATTTACATTGCTTATAATTTAAAGTTTGTTAATTAAATTTAAACATAAATATTTATTGTATTTATAATAGATAGACAACTAATCAACAGGAAAATGCTGCAGTTAAGACAAATTTTACCTAAATTATAGCATATAAATTAAAAATCCTGCAATTTCATTTTTTTCTATTATACTAGTTAGTAAAAGATATACCATATGAATATACTTGTAATTGAGTAAAAAAAAAACACTGTTGAAGACAGTTACTAAGGCATTTATAGTATTATTAATAGTATGAGACAATGATGTAAACACATGCGATGTGCATTTACTGAAATGTTGTGTTGATACACGCATGCTGCCTTCCTACTGACGTCTCTTAGTCCTCGAAAATATTTACTAAGTGCTTTAAAAACCTTTTTCTCTATAGACATAGATGTAATAAAATCATAAAGCAAATTTTGTTTACATTGTTTTAGAATGCGTGAACGCGGCTAACAGTGTGAAGCGTAATTGTAGTGATGATACGAAAGACATCAAAATGGAAGGCGAAATTGAAGATGATTATAGAGATCATCCACCTAATGTAAGTATTTTATTTTAAATATACATATTTATTCAATACCGTGTAGCTCGGTGGCGTAGTAGATAAGCGTCGCGGCACATGATCGTTGTTGTTAAGCAACATTCGTAAGGGTCGGTCACGGGATGGATGAGCAAAAATAAATTATCTCTAGCTACTCCGTGTTTCGGAAGACACGTTACGCCGTTGGTCCCGGCTGCATTTGCAGCCGTTAATACCTCCAATCCTCATTAGGCTAGCGTGGAGGGTCATGGCCCATCCTTAAAATGTTTATGATGTATAAATTATGTATATACTGATTGAGCTGTGGCCCCGATTTTCAGGTGTTGCTCTTGATAAATAGTTTCCGATCTGCTTAATTTGGGTATTTACAATTAAATATTTCCTCTTTATAATATTAGTATAAACAAATGGCAAAGATTTGTTTCTTAGTTTGCATCTAAAAGTTTGTGTAACTACTGGAACTATTTTAAAAATTCTTTCATCAGATAGTATTATTTATAAATGTTTTTTATTTGTTTGTTGTATAGGAGGCCAGGTTTGTTTGCACGTCGTCGTGGTACCTATTTCTGCGGCTGCACGGCACGCTCTGCCAACGTCTCGCCGCCGCCAGACGAGCCGCCATACAATTACACAACGACACCAACCACCACCACACTAGTGTCGCCACAGCGCTCAGGCTCAAGCCTAACAGTCAGTATACAATACATAGTTATATTGATACGTATAGCGAAGGCTTTGGACAACTTTTTTTTAATTTAATGGATTACATAGATTGAGTGGTATAAAATTTGATATTATAAAAAAATGTCCATTATAAGATTTATTCAATATGATAAGTACCATAGAAATAATCAAAATGCATTAGGCAGGCATTAGTAACAATTATTGTCACCTATGCAGAATAATAGAAACTATAATATTATTTATTCAAACTTCTCAGCTTTAGAATAAGCAACCTTGCATTTTGTTGATATTTTTATAGAGAGAAATGTAATAGATAAACTTTTACCATTGTTTTTGTTTTAGAACACTGTCATTACAGGGAATTAAAAGGAATTTATACCTATCAATCTTATTCCTGTAGGCCACATATAAGTTAGAAATTTAATAATAAATATTAGGACTGCATAACGATACGTGTAGTAGTGAATGAATGACCAGCAGAGACAAATTAACAAAATAAAATTAAAGTGTACATTTTCTTAGATATTGAATTTTAATTGTCAGATTGTTTAAGCCTCTAACTTGAAATTGTTTTATCCTTTACCTTAACAAAACCTTAATATTTGTAGATTTACCAGCGGAAGTGTCATCGCCGTCCGAATATTACGGCGCCTTACTGGAGCTTGTGAAAGGAGTACTGGACGGTAACACTGAACCTGCCGCTTACGAAGACGCTGCCAGGGAGATGTTCGGTATAAGAGCATATCCTGCATACACGCTGGACAAGTTGGTCTCGCATTGTGTCAGACAGGTGAGTTGCGTCAGAACGATTTTATACATTAATATTTAAACAGTTTACTTCAGTATTGATTATAGAAATTTGGTATTTTGTAATAACTTAATATGCTGCTGTGTGTTGATAGTTTTTTTTTTCAACTGATAACTGACATTTTGTCAGTTGTCAGATCAAATTAGAGAGCCTAGTGTCTGTACTAGAAGAATACAATAAAATGAAAAGAATATAAATTACATATACCAGCTGCTTTTGCACTCGTAAATACCCGCCAATCCGCAAAGCGTGTAGGGTTCCATGTTCCTTAAGCATCCATAAGGAAGGCCTGAGCCCCTGTAGTGGGGACGAATTAAAGAGTTGATGATGATGATATGGATGGCATGCAGCAGTGGCGAAATTAATTGTATCCCGTTGGTAATTATCTAAGGTACCAATTAAAAATTACATAAAACAAAAATAAAGAAAATGAAACAAACGCCTCCATCTTGCTCCACTTTGGATAACCCCTGGCTGTACGCAACTGAACTCAAAGCTATAGTCTGACTTTTCTTATTAAATTCCATCTCTAAAAGAATGGAATATCCCCTTGATGTGTAAATAATGTATGATGCTATTATAATATATCTAGTTGCAACACTGCGTGTCGGAGTCGTGGTCGCTGCAGGCGGTGCAGCTGTGTGCGCAGGGAGGCATGCGCGGGCCCCTGCACTATATACGACGAGCACTCCGATATCTGCGTAACGAACACAACGCATTCCTCGTCAAAGTGGTTAGTATACATAAATAATACAAATATAGTAATAAGGTTTTAATTGGCAGGAATTTGATGTGAAAATCTTAGATACCAAACTAAATATAACTGGTTTGAATTAGTATGATACCTGAAGGCCTATTATTCTAGAAATCCTCGAATGAAAATTCGAAAAATTTGCCATCTTCGTTACGCCCACATATTTAGTAGCAGCATCAGCACACTGTCACTGATGAATTATTCAGTACATTTCATTTGCATTTACCTCTCGTCTTTCTTACGCTATAGAACTATACCACCTCAAAATTGTGAAACCAATAAATTCATACATTGAGTTTACTTTCCGGAATAAATTTCATTGCGCCAAGAAGTCGCAAATACTCTTATTATTTTGTTAAAATCATTTCTGTTAAGATTTATCTGTGCATCAGACGTAATGTCAACTCTTACCTACGTTTCATCGTAAATTTTCGAAATATCTGTTGAATCATATAATTTCGTGTTTAGAGAAATGGATGTGGCCTGTATCCAAAAACTTTTTCGTTACTCCTGTTTCATTAATATGTCTAGTTTTTTTTTTTTCAAATTAGTTTGTTGTCTGCACTGAAACTGGAATCGTCAGTTATAGCCATATAAAGTGTTCATAAAAACAAGTTGATAATCTGCTAAATCAACTGGTTGCTGCTGTAGGGTTTTTATAATACTAGCTAATCCGATTGTATGTTTACAGTACGGTGGTGACGAATGTCGAGTGACGTTCGAACTACTAGAAGGCCCGTCGCCACGAGGCTCACCGCCGTTAGACGCGAGACTCTCGCCCACACAGGTATATATTATTACTAATTATAATTTTATTAAAGTTTGAACTTTTATTGACAGTCTATCTTTTTTAATAATATTCCACATTGATTTTAACATACATATTATATACTAAAGCTCTACTATTTCATGTAAACAAATACATAAAATATTACAGCTCTATTATAGGCTCAGACCGTGGTTTATTTGGCCTTGAATTTATAATACTCCCGCGAATTAGCCCGAGTACGCGTACAAGTTTCGCTACTACAGAGCGTATTTTCGTCAATGTGCGGGCAATCCACCCAAACAGCCGAAAGAAATATTTTTACAAATGATTGGAACAAATTTATCTTTATTGAAAGTTAAAATATTTGTAAAAATATTTCTTTCGGCTGTTTCGGTGTATTGCCTGATTCATGATTTCAGTAAAGCATTGTGAATGCCAAATTAATAAAATATAATAATAAGTCTAAACTTTGTTTTATAGCGGGGTAACAACAACGGCAACAACGGTCGCGGCCTAGTGTCCCGCACGGGCGCGTGGTCATTGTACGCAGAGAGGTACGCCAGCCCACGCGCGGAACATTCCCTGCGGAACAAACCCGTATTCCTCACGAGGAATGCCAGGCGATGCGGCCACCATCACACCAACAATATCGCCACAGCCCCGCCCACAAACCATCAAAACCCCACACCGCATGCAAGAAGAAAACCACCAAAGCTACACGATCACACTGAGTGCCAGCTTAGCGATGATCTACGTCTACTATCCTTTAGACCCCTCTATTTGTACAGAAATGGAGCACTGGCCTCTGCGCGAGCCTCCCATGCTCGGTTACACGCCAGAAGACGGGCGAGGATGAGAGCTTGGCTAATGCGTTAAGTGTTACGAGACTGTTATCGAAAGAATATCGCAAATAATCTTTTTTTGTGTGTGATGGAAACGCTTGAGTTTCGAAATGGTCGGAGCGGTTTTATGTGGAAGACGACCCGTGGTCGACGCTGGAATTTAATTCGGAACGTGAGGCGATTCTGTCTGGATGAACGGAGAAAGTCAAATTGTGAAATTACTAACCGAGATGTAGATTTTGTTTGAATACTTCAGCTAGTCGTTTGGCCTTTATCTTCTCTTCAAACTAGCCATTTTCTTTTTAAAAAGGAGTTCTTTCGAACACTTGCGAATTGTATTAGAGGTTTTCCAGAATAACTTATTAAAAGTACTTTTGAATCATCTAACTTTTTTAGGACTTCTTGACTGATAAGAATGTGTGAGCGAAACTCACCAAACCAATAAAGGGAATTAATTCACTATTTTAAATAAATCAAATAAATTCATTCTTTACAGTAATTTACTATTGATGATCGAACTAGATTAAATAGTTTTCAAAACGGCAAACCTTAGATCTCCCAACAGAATAACATCGATTGTGGTAAAAATTATTTTGGCACATTAATATTCCTGCATTTCATTTCATATATTAAAAATAAATTGCACTAGTTTCAGATAACAAAAAAATAAATTCCGACCTAAGTTAAAGTTTTGTTTTAAATAAATACCGTATAGGTATTTATTTAAAACAAAACTTCTATATGAATATAAGCTAGTATAGTAAAGAGAAGACAAGTGTTTTATATGTGACCTATCAAACTGTTTTCATTTATAATTTATATGCTGTACTTTTTTGTAACACATGAAAAAATGATCTGAAAAATCTCAATTTCGACCAAAATATTTTCTATATAAATTTCAAGGTACAGAATATTGTGCCATTATGAAGCACAAAATAAGATTTTATCTTGTGTTACATTAATATATGATAAAATATTTTGTGTTCTATTAAAAGCAATATATTCCATATTATTTGTTACTTAAGAAGTTATATGGAAATAAAATATTTTGTGTTACTATAACACTAAAAAAATAGACATTTATTATTTATTGAAAAATCTGTTTAATTATATTATATCATTTAAACATTGAAACACTAGGAATATCGTAATATTCTATAATGGGCTTTTGTTTCTAATTAATTTCCACATAGTAATATACCCAAGGTAAATTGATTTAATTCAATAAGACAAAAGAAACACGCTGTTTATAAAACTGAAATCCAAAGACGACATCTGTATACCTTCTTCAAATAAAACGTTCTTGAAAATCTTTTATTTATTACTCTATCACTACCAATAAATTGTCTCTGGATTCCGGTGTAGTCTGAAAGACTAACAGGGTTGATTATCTCGAATTTGATATGGCAACACTGACGGACTTTAAAAAGTATCTGGTTAGAATGGTTTTTTATTGTCGGTTAATTGTTTTTATCACGTTAGTTTATACAATCGGGTGCGATGGCGTTGTTTCGGGTCTTTATATCACGTTTTAGTGGTATGCAGACTTCCAATATAGCCATGGCATCCGCGATCAAGCCGCATCGCTATTGTCGAGAGATTAGACTTATTCTCCCGATTAAGGGTTTCCAATCCAGTGATTTTAATATTACTAGGATAAGAGCAAGTTGAATTGTATAATGATAAGGTTTGTTATATATTTTTATTTGCATTCCCTTAGCGATGCGGTGGTATTTTTGCTTGTATAAAGATCTCCTTTATTTCTAAAGTACAGTGGTTTATGTAAATATTGAGCGAGTGGCCGTGATCTAGATTTACTGTTACGGAACCAATTTTGTTAATTTGTAAAGAAAGAAATGACTTGTCAGAAGGAATAAATATTATTATATTTATATTTTATTGGTTTGATTGTTTCTTCCCCGTGTCTCGTATGGAATAAGTACGAAAGCGTACATAGTACAAGGAATGTCTGCAGTACTAGACTGTATCAATTCAAAGGGGGCACCTGCCCCGGGTGGCAATTTCAGATTGGCGGTTAAATATATTGTGTGCTGGCTACCCCTCTTCGATTTTAATATGAAATCTAGATCCATCCAGTTCCTTAGATATCAATACGTTACGTAATAGGGACAAATAGTCAAGTTAATTTATTAATAGTCAAATAAAAAAGTTCGGCAATAAACGAGAATGTGGCGCTGCTAAGCTGACTTGAGCACAGAGTAAATTTTTTATAATGACTTGCAGCGCTTCAGCTAATAGGGTCCATTATTTTGTCCCTTGTATATTAGTCTGGGACATAATGGCTATAGATGCCTTAAAACTTATAGTGATATTATTAATAGCGATTATCCTACTAATAACTACTAAAATTATAAATGCGAAAGTTTGTGAGGATGGATGGACGTATGTATGCAGTGATGTAACTATACCGTTTGAGGCCCGTGGCAAATTCATCGGATATTCATTTTTTTTTGCGTTATATTAAATGTCATGGTCAGGAGTTTCCTCTGACTGGGGGCCCGTGGCATTTTGCCGACTTGCCACCCTGTAGTTACGCTACTGTATGTATGTTCACCAAAAACTACTGGACGGATTTTGATGAAATTTGGTATACAGATACTTTTGTGTGCGTGGATTAACATATAGGCTACTTTCTAAAGCTAGTTTTATGTTAACAATTGAGGTGCTCGGTGGCGTAATAATAATAAATACTTAAGAATGCAGTGTATAAAACTAGAAATAAATTACAAATTTGAGCAAAATAACACAAATGCCTGAACTAGGGAATTCTTGTATGACATA